AAAGTTATTATTCTCTGTGCCTGCCCGAGACGAGACAAGACGAGACACAGGCACAGCTGCTCGCATCTCAGCTCGCGTTGCGTGCTGTTCTAATTTCCAGCCACAAATTAGGCAGCCATACAGCATTATTGTTGCTCTACCTCTGCCTGTTTATACATATACATACATATACATATATATATATATATATCTATCTTTTTTGCTGCCTGATATTTGTGCTAAACACGTGAACTAAATGCGGCCGTGTGAACAAGGCAACGGCAATAATAGTCGTAACAGCAAACATCATAATCACAATATCAGAACAGCTAGTTCACAATGGAAGTTCGTTTTTGGGCGTGCAAATACCAAAAGTCGCGGGCGTTGTCTTTGAATATTTCTGTTGCTGTATTTGCATTTTCTTGGCCCATTACGTAATGCCGCATACGACGATCAGCGCTAAAACCGAAAGTTATTTCTTGTGTCGGAATCTCTATCTGAATCTGGTTTTTCGATTGGTTTTTAGTTTACTTTTTACTGTTTTGTTTTAGCTTCAGTTTTAGTTTTTAGTTTTTAGTTTTTGCTCGCCTCGTGTTAGGCCGCATTCAGTTGCAGTTAGTTAATGGTAATTGGGCTGTTATGGACTGCCTGGCACACTGGCTTTTTTTCTTGATTTTTTTAAGTGCCCCTAAGTCGAGTGTGTAAAATAATGAGCAAAAATTAAAAAAAAAAAAAAAAAAAAACAATAGAGGTAAAAAATACAATAGAACACACGGCTGCGCTTTGGTGACGTCTAACGGCATAAATCAAAAGACTGAAGACACAAACTTGAAGCGCGCCTCAAGTGTGCTGGGTATGCGTGTGTGTGTGTCGGTGTATGTGTGTGCATTTGTGCGCTGGTGTGTGTTCTCTTCTATTTATGAAAAGCAATAAATGCTGCCAAAAATAAACGCTCGTTTGCCAACAATTCATAGGAAACGCGACGTTAATGAGCTGCCAGTTAGTTCAAGGCGTGTCCAAAAGCCAAGTTATAGATAAATAATGGCTATAGTATAGCTGACATAGCATTTGCCAATGAGACAGCCGAAAGGCATACAAGGCAAATAAAATTAACATGAATATCATGCGAAGCCAATAATAATGGAAATTCGTTGTATTATGAAACAAATTACAATTAACAATCCATTGGCATTTCCTATTATATGTAAAAATAGCTAATGTTTTTTACATATCAAATTCAAGAATGAGCCAAATAAAAAATGTGCAGCCTATAGTAAGAGTCAAATAATAAATAGTCAACTTGTTAATTTATTGTGTGCTTATTCAGCTGTTAGCTTGACTGCAATTAAAGCCTTTTTACAGAGTCAGGAATACATCTCACATAATTTGACTTTGTTTTTAAGCTAACAAACCACTTAACATCGGGAGTACATGTAATCAGGACTGCAAGAAGATTAACATAACAGATTAATGTAACAAGAGATCGATTACAGAGGACATTAACATTTTGAGCTAGATTAAAGAAAATATTCAAATTCTCTTGATTGAACTTTAACTTATAATCACTGGATTAAGAAAAAAAAAATGAAATTAACGTACACATAGACTGTTATTTATATATTAAATATTTAACAATTACATAGCTTAAACACTCAGATACTTAACTAATTGCTCTGCTCTGCTGAGTGTTATTCAAAAGCATTGAGCACCTTCTAACTCATTGACATAATTACTCGAAGCCATAACTGAGTTCTAACCCACACAGTAGCAATTATTTCCTTGCAACACTAGAAACTCCCCTTTTTATCGTTTACTTGACGACTTGGCTATGCCGTGAGTTTCGCTACAAGTTGAAGCATAATAAAAGTGTCGTATCTTACATTGTTTTGTATCACACCATAAAATTATTCACAATTCAATGCGCATTTGTCGCTTGCTTTGGCACAAATCAAACTTGAAACCTCGCCCACGTCTAGAACGAGGCGTTGAACCACCACAGCACAACGGCCAGAAGCAGCTCCATGTTCATGTGGGTGCTCTGCTGACGCTGCTCTGGGGTTGTGTGTGAATTAGGTATGCGTGTGTGGGTGTGTGGGTGTTCTGGCAAGGCGAATTTCGGACAGCAAAATCGAACCAAATCGAAAAATGTGTAAAAATGCCACACAGCCAAATGGGAAAAAAATAAAGGAAAACACCTACACATGCAATGCATGATATCGTTGCAAAAACTTGGCCAGCTCCAGTTTGGCCAGATTTAGTGGCTAAGCCTAAAATGTTTTCAGCCGCTTACGTAATGTAACTGGCATGGCCCTAAAACTAAAACTGGGCGTGTACACGTTGTATTGTTCGGCTCAAACAAGCCGCTTGAGTCACGTTAAAGATGTTAACAGAAAACAACAACATCAACTGGCGACAACAACAGCAACAAGGCTAGTAAAAAACGGCAAACAAATGAGGCAACTAGCCAAACACTTTCGTTGACTGTTTGCTCTCTTGACCAACTGTTCAAACAGCGCATTGCCTCAATTGTGGCTGTAGTTGGGAGTGATGTTAAAGCTTAGAGTTGTTGTTGAAGTGGACGTTAAACTTCAGGCTGTGCCCATTCCCATGACCTTGCGAAATTAGCTGGCGCTGTCCCACTAAAATGCCTCGATTTAGAACGCGTGCTCATTAACTACAACTAATTACGACCAGGTTCATTGCCAATGCCAATTGCAACCACATGACATCAGCAGCAGCAACAGCAACAGATCACAATTGACTTCATTTCAGTTGAGTTCAGTTGAATTGAGTTGACTTCAGTTCAGTTTAGTCACATAATGTATAATATATACTACACTACATTCCACATATACGAGTACATAAATCCATAACTCATTTCGCTGACGACCTTAAAGCTTTTTTTCAGCCTGTTGACCGTTTACACATGTGGAAATCACTTCCAACTATTTGCTGTCTATCTAAATTTATGCAATTTTCGCAGCGCAATTCATAGTGTAATTATACCCTGTAGCCATAAAAATGTTTAAAGTGCAGGGTATCATTAAGGTTCACGTCATCTAGCCTTTATAGAAAAGTATAGGTAAAAATCGTATGGCATATATATACACTTACAGTTTGCATTACAGCTGCTGTGAAAGCAGAACTGTTAACAGAGCTGTTAAATAACAGGAATGTTGATGATTATTCTGTTAATATATTATGAATGAATATATGACCCTCTCGGTCAATTAACACTACTTGGGATCAATGTAGGTAATTCATTGCGCTTTCAAGTCTTATTCATCTTTACATTGTGATGCATGTCTGAGAGAGAGAGAGAGATTCAGACACCATGCGAACACAGGGCATCAGCTCGTCGAGCACAACCGTCGAGGGCGTTCTTACTTGTTTTTCAATCAGTTTTTGTACAAAAAAGTCAGCACACTGAGCTTGTGGACTTGTCGCGCTTCCATGGAAGATGCGTGATGTCATCATCAAATACAGTAAACACGTTCAACAAAAATTGTTTCTCAATATGCGAAAATAAAACAATTTTGGTATTTGAAATGTGAGCCCCCAAGATGATGTATGTTAAATGGCTAATACGAATGTGTGTATGAATCTATTAAAACCGGATTTCCGATAATTAAGGCCTTTGCACCTTTGACGCCTCGCTGTCTTCTGCCCAAATGCAAATGTTGGCCAGCTTTGAGTAGGCGCGCGGGGCCTTTGGACCGCAACAACAAACCGCAATTTGTGTTTTTTGGCAGCATTTGCTAAACGAACTATCAAGCAGACCCCAATTAGCGCATTTCAAGTAGCTTTCAATTTGGTCGAAATGCCTGCGGTAAAAGCGAAGTGAAATTGTCCACATTGATCAATTGCCCAGACAATTATAATTGCAATTGTATGTGTGTGCTTGTGTGTGTGTGTGTGTGTTTGTCTAAGCTGCCACATTTGCTGGCGCAGTGCGTCAGAGCGACACCCACCCAGACACCAGCGAGACCAGGCCGCAGCAAACGCTGTTTATGTTATATGGGCTGTAAGCAGAAACCTTGACGGCCTTCTAACTCGCTCCACGCTGTGGCTGTTGTGAAAGACTTACAGTTTCCTACGCTGCGCCAACAACAACCACACACTTTTAATACCCTGTAACCACGGAAAATGGCTAAAAAGGGTATAGTAGTTTTGTGCGAATCTATGTAACAGGCCCAAGGAGGCATCTGTGATCGCATAATCTAAGGAATATTCCAGATCAGGACGGCGAGCTGATTTGATCTAGGCATATGCCTCTGCTCCCAGTCTGTTGTAACACGGGCACTCGAAAGCTAGAAGAAGTTCATTTAAAAATAACAAAATATCGAGTTTAACTTTATTTATCCATAACACCTCCTGATATTGACTTGAATTGTTGAGGTTTTTAAGGATAACTCGAAGATTATAAAGGCTAAAGATACCAACTATGGTATATGGATTATTTCTATACCATATACAGAGTAGGAACTCTAGATACTGGACACTGGGTACGGGGTATCTACTAGCTAGCACTCCCTTACTAGAGCACTCTTATTTGTTTTATTTTATTTTTTTTTTTTATATTTTATTTTTTAGACGCTGCCCACCGCACTGAGATCGCAAAGTTTTTGTTTTTGCGGCGAAATTCCAAACTAAGTGAATATTTTCTGTGGTTGTTGTTTTTTCGTGTTTTATTGTCAGATACTTTTTTCAATTTTTCCTTTTGGCTCGCTTCGCTTTGGCTTGGAACGAACGTTGCAAACCAGTTTTTCTATAGCCAGATTCGGATTCGGATTCGCATACCCACATTTTTGTATCTCTTGTTGTTGTGCTGGTGGTTGTTGTTGTTCTTGTTGTTGTTGTTGCCGTTGTCAAGCCGAGCTTTAAGCTCTGTCATGACGTCATTGTTTTTGCACTCACCGCCTCGCATGCTGTTTGTTTTGGCCAGAAAGCAAGTGGCCCAAAGTGCCAGCCACTCAGTTCGCATTGGGCAATGATCGCGTGCGCTCGGCAAATCGAAATCGAAATCGAATCGAACCGGAGTCGGAGTCGAAATCGGGAAATCGGACGTTGAAATCGCAACGAATCGCGTTTCCCAATTAACAAGTTAATAGAATTTTTGTTAATCTTTCGTTTCACGCTGATTGGATAGTCATTAAAATAAATCAAAATATAGAAATACAAATAAAAGCAAATACAATGAAACAATTGCCAGCTGAAGTTGCATAGAAAAAACTGAGGCAAACGAAACGCAACGAAAGTGTACCGAAGTGAAGTGTAGTGAGCTGAGGTGAAGTGAGGTGACGAAAAGTGAGCGCCACAACGCCACAATGGACGTCAAAGATATCAAGGGCGCCAAGGTGACGCACGCGGGTCTGCTCAAGCACAATACAGATGGCACCACCGAGACCCAAAAGATCACACATGCCGGCCTGGTGGCGCGCAGTCCCGAAGGCACCGCCGCCAAGGGCATGAATATACGCGGCAACGAAGACCTGTGGGTGGAAATCCAAGCGAACACCTTTCGCAATTGGGTCAACGAGCATTTGCGCGAGACGGGCATGCAGGTGAGTGCTATGCATATGGGCTAGTCCGTAGACACTTACATAAGAGGCGAGCGTTCAGTGAAGCGCAACTGTCTAACAATACGACGCTCGGTTACTCAGTCAATGGGTCGGCCAGTCAATAGAACTATCGATTACCTGTATGTAACATACAAATGGATTAGATCAGCGCCTCGAGCAGGGCCTGGGCTCATTGGCATGCCCAGCTACAGCTTGCACGCTTGGACAGCTCGTGGGCCTGCAGGTCTGGCTGGTATGCTGCTCTTCCGTGGGGCCTTAAAATGCCTTAAATGGCCAGGCACCATACGCCACCCCGGTACAGTCATAAATATCAGCTCAGATCTCGACTCATTGTCGCCCACACACACACGCACACGCGGCGTATACGCAACGCCCACGCCTGGAGCAAGTGCGACGACTTCAATGGCAAACTTTACTCACACAAAGCCGAAACACTCGAAGGCGACATTTTCAAATTGCGTCGGTCAATTTAATTACAATTACGAACATGCAATCGCTGCTTTGCGCTCAAGTGGCATGCATTTCATTAGTCAATTTGAAAGCCAGCTTCGGGTCGAGTCGCCTTTGTTGGATTTTAGTTGTTTTTGATTTTTTATAGATATTTTTCTCACACATGAACTGGCCATATTTGGGCGCATGAATGCCAAGGCCGCAGCTCAAAAAATACAACAAATTAAAATAAATACATATATAAATAAAAAACACAGCATCGCTGCAAAGCCATTACGTGTTACAAAACAAAAGCCAGCGACAGATCTTTCAAGTTTTATGCATACATTTTGGGACAGTCAAAAAAAAACCGAGAGATGATGCGACGAGGCAGCCCGGCAACCAGGCAGCTGGGGCAAGGCCGCAGCCCTCCAAAATGGGCAGAGTTCGCATACGAGTCAGGTTGTAAACAGCGCTAATTGAGCACCCAGCCAATGACAATAGGCCTTAAAAAATGAATAACAACATGCCAACAAACCTGGCTGCTATATTTAGGTCAAAATGCCAAATTGAGACTGTCAAGTGTGCATTTTATATTCTAGCTTATGGCTAATAAAATTGCAATCAACTCTGTGTGCCATATTCTCTTTTGTGCCATAAAATAACAACTAAAGAAAACTATGCTCGGCATGCCACAGCTCAAATACTCTATCAGGTGCATTTAATTGAGTCTAAAATGCATTAGGTTTTTGATATACAATATTCACAAACTGTTCTCACAACAAGCTGTAAAGTATTCCCATGCATTAGTATCTTTACGCAGTAAAGTAGTATCTTTATTAACAGCGCATACTAATTACAAGCGTAAAACGTTTTTCAGTTTTGCAATAAATGAAACGTTCATTTTTTAAGGCAGAAAAATCGTGTGGCATATTGCTTGTCATATAGATAAACAATTAAAGTACAACTAGAATTCATTAAATTCATTCAAAAAAGCTAGTGAAAAAATGCCCACACATTTGTCTGCTAGCATTACAGCTGGTTAGACTGTTGTTAACAGCCCCTTTAAATTGTTTGACGTAAAACGCTTTTCAGTTTTGCAATTAAACTAAAATGCATTTGCTTATTACACATTGGTGAGAAAACTAATTTAAAAAGACTCTGGTTTTGCACTTGCTTGGGAATAAAATATCATACAGCTATTGGATAGTAATTTATACCCAGAAAACTCTTAACAGACATGTGTTAGCAACGCTAGTTGCTTTTATGTTATGCATTTTAAACATTGAAAATGGAATATATTTAGCATAGTTTAATGCATGAAAAGGAATCAATATTGCCTTACCGATCAACTCAACAAAGATTGTAGGAAGCTATATGTTAAACTATTAACATCTAGTGTCTTACATAGCTTATGATGTTATCAATTAACAGTATCTAATGCGAATGGAGCAGATGTCAGCAGAGAGTCCTCTAGGCCAGTCCCCTCGCGCATGTGGTTGCCTCTAGGATATATGAGATGAAACTTTTCGCATAGCAGACAATAGGAATTTATGAGCGCTTCTTGATAATATCCACTCCCGCACAGCATAGACTTGCAAATTCAAAGGTTATGCGCACATGACAACAAGAAGAAGAACAGTAACAGCAACAACAGCAACAACGATAACAGCAAAAGACAACACCCCCAACTGCCAGCCAAAGTGGAGCTGTTGTTGGCGCTTGTTAGGGAACAGCGCGTTGGCAACTATGTGCGAGATTTTTATGGCCATCCACAGAATATTTGCTGTATGGGGCACGAACAGAAAACAAACAGCAACAGACACGCGATTGTCTCGCCGGCTGCTGACAGCTCCAAGATAAAAAGCTTTATGTCAAATGGCAAAAATTGCAAAGACGATGCCGGAGAAAGCCAACTGGCAACAGCTTCAGCTCCAGCCTCAGCTTCAGCTCCAGCCTTGCCGTGTGAGTGTATTCCGGCCAAGTCAGAAGGCGGTACACGCCCAATGTGGGCCACAACTAGCGGGCTTTTCAACTTATTGTTGTTTTTGTTGTTGTTGTTGTTGTTGTTGTTGTACCTTTGCTGATTGCCCATTATGAAAGCTGGCTGACAGGCAGCAGGCATGTAGGTACATTAGCAGAAAACATGCATAGTTTCGCACAGACAATGCTAATTAACGCCCATTGAAAGATTCGCCATTAGTGATTAAAAATAAAAACATAAATAATAAAACTAAAAAAAAAACATCTGCCATTTCTTCCACTTGGGGCAGGTGCATGACTGGGCTACGGACTTCTGCGATGGCACCTGTCTGTGTGCGCTGGTCGAGAACCTGCAAACGCGTCCGCTGAAACCATCGTGGAATCGCCGGCCGGCCAATCAGCATCATTATCTGGAGAATGCCACAACCGCTCTCAAGTCGATTGAGGCGGATCACATCAAGCTGGTGAACATTGGCAACGTGGACATTGTCAATGGCAACGTGAAGCTGATATTGGGCCTCATCTGGTCGCTGATTGTGCGCTACCAGATCGGACGCAGCAAATTTCCACCGCGCAAGCTCATGCTGGCCTGGCTGCAGGCCGCGCTGCCGGATTGCAAAATCACCAATCTCACGACAGATTGGAATAGCGGCGTCAACTTGGCCGCGTTGCTGGACTACTGCCAGCCGGGCCTGTTTCCGCACTGGCGCAGTCTCGATCCTAGTCAGAGTGTGCGCAATTGCACCAATGCCATGAATCTGGCGCAGCGCGAGTTCGGTGTGCCCAAGGTGCTAGAGCCCGAGTATCTGGCCTCGCCTTGGCTGGATGAGCTATCCGGCATGACGTATTTGTCGTACTTCATGAAACCAGGTGGACCCGGCTACAATGCCACCATGCGTTGGGTTAACACACAGGTTAAGGAGCCCGTCAAGAATTTTACGGTGAGTGATAACAATATATTGACCCTTAATAAATTCAAAGTTTATAACCGATGAAAATCACATTCCCTCTCACACACGCTCTCTCTCTCTCTCTTTCGCTCTTCATCTTTGTTTAAAATTATTCTTCCCCCCCCCCCTCGTACTGTTATTTTTAAATATTTATTATAACTTTAATTTCTTTTTTCTACTTCTGTCCGATATCCCTCTCTATTTTTTAGTTTCTCTCTCATTCTCTTTTTCTGTTTCTCTCTCTCTCTCCCTCTTTCTCGATCTCGCACTCTTCCCTACTTTTCTTCACCTCTATCTAATCCCTTTCTTCACATCTCTCTCTTGCACCTTCTGCATCTACTTCCGTTCCTATTGACCCACTTACCTTTTATTATAATCGGCTCTCTATGCGATTCTCATGTTTGGTTTCTTATGTATATAATTATATAATAGTGTTATTTTAAACAATGGTATTTTAAAAAGCCATTGCTCTGCTTACTCACTATTACTTTATCCCTCACTCTGGCTGAATATACAATTGCGCGCCCGCAATCATAATTGTGCATTTAATTGTAATTGGTTAAACTATTAATTGCATTGCATTGTAGACCGATTGGAACGATGGACGCGTGCTGTGCGAAATCATCAAGGGACTGGGCGGCTCGGCACCAGCGCCAGATAAGCTGAGCACCGATCCCTTTCACTATGAGAACAATATACGCAAGGCCGTCGATGCTGGCGCCAAGCTGGGCGTTCAGCCCATATTGACGCCCAAGGACATGGCGAATCCGGAAGTTGAGCATCTGGGCATCATGGCATATGCAGCCCATCTGCAGTGGGTGCCGCCGCGACCACCGCTCTCCGACCTGGTCAACGTTTATTTGGAGAGCACATCCGGCCGTGTGGGCGAACCGGTATGTACCACGCACAGCTGTGTGCTTGACATGACCTGCATTAATGCTTAATACCCATTTCACACGCAGACGCATTTCCGCATCGACGTGCTGTCGCGGGACATCAGCTTGAGTTCAGTGCGCTGTCACGTGGTGCCCCCGTCCGGTAATCCCGGCCAGCCTGTGCGTTTAAACGCGCATGGCGAGGGCGTTTACGTGCCGGAGCGCTATGGTATGCACGAGATTGTTGTGGAGATTGGCGAGGATAGCTTGGGAGGTCATTTCTTCCGCGTCTTGCCGCGTCTCCTGCAGGTGGCCCCACCTGGCATGGCACCCTGCGCCCTAGGCAGCCTGGTCGAGGTGCTGGTTAATGCAACAGGCGCACCCAAGACGGAAGATATTCTGGTCACAGCAGTTTCGCCGACGGGCATCTCGCACAACTGTCCGCTGAAGAAGATCGACGAGGGACACAGTGCCATATTCAAGCCGGATGAGGCGGGCATCTGGGAGATAGCCATCACCTATCAGGGCCGTCACATCCAGGGCGGTCCGTTCACATGTGCCGTGTTCGATGCCTCTGGCGTCTCTGTGCATGGCCTGGATGGCGCCATGCCGCTGCGTGCTCACACCTTCGAGGTGGACGCACGCGGCGTGGGAGTCAACGGCGAGCTGCACGTGGACATTGTTCATGACAAGCACTCGTTGGTCTGCTCTGTGGAGAAGATCGTGGATAACAAGTATCGGGTGACCTTCATGCCGCGCCAGAATGGCAAATATCGCGTGTATATCTACTTCAATGGCTACGATGTCAAGGGCTCGCCCTTCATGTGAGTAATCCAATCGATCCCTAACTTGTACTCTGGCCTAATCCTCTACCAAATCTTGCAGCATGCGCGTGGGCACTAAAGGTCGCTCGGGCAAGACGCGCAGCAGTCCGCTGCATGAGAGCAAACATCGCTCGGAGAGCCCCTCGATGCACTTCATCTCCACGACAAATACGCGACACAACGACTATCGCAATGCGTCGCTTTCTCGTCGGGATTTGCACGGCCATAACACGGCCGAGCGCACAAGCAGCTACTCGCCGCAGTATTCGCCCAAGCTAGACACAACTGACTACCACACTTCCAGCTCCAGGTACTACAAGCGCGAGAGCGAGGTAAGTACAGGCAGGCAGCAGGCAGCATGGCTTCAGTTCATCCTAAGCACGCGTCGGCACGGGCTTCTTGTTAATGCTTTGCACAACAACCGCAATGCACACCACAAAATTGAATGTTTGGCTAACACTTACACACACACACACACATACCCCCTTGTGACCCCTGACACACACTCAAAATTACATTCGACAGGAGAACCACGGCTCCCCCACACCGCCCCTGCCGCCAACGACCGGCGGCTCCCCCACAGTGAAATATTTGAACTCTACGGACCTTTATACCGAAACCGCCGGCGGTCGGCGCGACTCGAAGACCTCCAATAGCAGCTCAAATAGGAATGACTACTACTACGACAAGGAGAATGAGCTGTACAGCCAGCGGCGCATCGTCAGCAAGCCCAAGCTGGCGCCGCCGCGCGAGGAGCGCGAGCTGACTACCAACAGCAACAGCAGCAGCAGCTTCCAGCGACATCAACAGCTGACCAGCTCGCTCAGTCCAATACCTAGTCCCACACTGAATGTAACTAAATTTTTGTTTGATCCGTTTGCTTGATTCCAAAAGATAAACTAGTGCTCTTTATGTGTGTCTGATCTTTAGCTTGACAAACCAAAGCTAATCTTGTCATCTCATCCACCTCATCCACAGACGCGCTCCAGCGAGCTGCACTCGCACAGTCCGCTGACCATCAAGACATCGAACCAGTACGAGAGCTCCACGCGCAACATAACCAGCAGTCCGCGGCACGCCTCCGCCTCGCCAGTGCAGCGCTATTCGCCCAACAATGCGTACATCAGCACGGCCACACATCGCATTGGCAGTCCCGTGACCAGCACTCTGAACAAGGTAGGCATGCACGTAGATACACCTAATGCCGGCTCAGAACTGACTCTGGTGTATTTCTAGAACGGATACGAGTCCACGCGCGTGGAGAAGTCATCCACCTACAAATCCACCTCGAACTATGTCACCGATTCGAATGTGCGCGCCAGTCCCTCGCTCTATGGCACAGCCGAGCGACTACGTCGGATTGGCTCGCCGGAGCCGCGCATTGATCACTCCTCGAATGTGCGCGTCTCCTCGCTGAAGCCGGCATCGGCGCGTCGCGATAGCTGGGATGTCATCAACAAGACCAAGCACATGCTCTCGCACAATTCGCTCGAGTCGCTTGCGAACATGACCGAGACGCAGCTCAACACGGAGCTCAACTACGCACGCCCCGATCTGGACAACGAGACTCAGCGCAATACACAGTACAACAAGTTCGCATTGCACAAGCAGCAGCAGCAGCAGCAGCAACAGCTTCAGTCGGACTATCGACGCGACTCGCCCGACGACGTGGATCGCTACAAGTAATTGATATATTCTCTAATATTCCATGCCAGGCCCTTTATCTCCCCCTTTTTCTCTCTCACTCTGTCGCCATGCAGACCCAGTGCCATCACCGTCAAGTCACACTCGAACAATACGTATACGGACAAGTCCGGCGGTTATATCAAGACCGTCAAGGAGTCCAGCGAGCATGTGGTCACGGAGAGCAATGGCCATAGCTCGGCTAATGGGCCGGGCTACGGCTACAGCTCGCTGTCGCGCTTTCGACCCATAGACAGCAATGCGACAGGTGCTAGAGCCATACGCGTACAGGACATACCCAACGGCTCCATTGGACGTCCGGTGGAATTTGAGATCGATGGCTCCAAGGCCGGTTCCGGCAATTTGGAAATTTTGGTTAATGGCGGCCGGGTCACATCGTCGGTCCGCTCGCTGGGCGGTCAGCGCTTCATAGCCAGCTTCACGCCACACGAACATGGAACACACACCGTGCAGATCACATTCAATGGAGAAACGGTACCAGGTGAGTCGGAGCAAAGATTTTGATCAAGCAGGAAGCTCAAGTATGACGCCATAAGCTGCACATAACGTGGGCGTTGCGCACTTTCAAGTCAAGTTCGGCATTCTTGTGCTGCGAATCTCGATGTGCTAGTCGTTTTGTACCCTTACCTAAATTGGGCATGCTAAGTTGATTGGCGTCTTTTATTTTTGTTTTCTAAATTGGAATGCTTAGCATAGCTGAAGTTATAGTTAAATATTTTGGGGAAGTCATAATGCTTAGGAAATGGTCTTCACAACACTATGATGATATATTCTTAACATACAGTTTTGAATTATACATATGAAAAAAACAAATTTCATACAAACGTTTTTCGCGTTTTTTCCGCACATACGGGTGGAATTTCCAGAAAGCCTGTCTTAACGTGCAACCTCATTACATTAGGTAACTACAGTGAAAATTTAAGCTTCATAGCTCTTATGGAATGGGCTGTGCGTCGATCACCAATCAGTCAGTCAGTCAGAACAAACAGTTTTATATGTTAAAGTATATCCAACCTGTTAAAGCTTAAGTCCAATTCATGTTGCAATGCTGTAATATCTACTCTCATGAAATTTAATTAAAATAAAACTTTGACTGCATTGTAAAATTTGGAATGGTCGTATTTATACCAATATTTTATATGTACTCATACAGCTCGAACAACTGATAAAGTTTAGTTCAATTTAGCATTCATAAAGATTTTTTGTGTACACTCTTCATTAATTTATGGATTGAACCAAATATGTCTTTTCCATTAGTTAAATTATAATTAGGATAAGGACAGTATAAACATAAACATAAACTCGTATATTAAGACAAACATATAATAATATTCTTTTAGTATTAAGTTTTTTGAAACTTAAGATTAAGCCGAGCTTGAAAGAGTCTATTTGATTTCGCTCCGACTGGTGGCACTGCAGACCACGGTGCGGCGAATTCGTGCAGTTCGCTTGAGAGAAGCAGAGCTGCGCTCTCGCTCGCACTCACACTCACACTGGCGCTCACTCTCCCGCCACTGATCACTTGTTGCTGCGCCTACCTGCGCTCACCTGCCGCAATCCGATCGCTCTTTTACGCTCCGTCGCGCTCAGCCAGCCGCAGTGAGCGACCTGCCGAACGAGTTTTGAGCAGAGCTCTGAGTCGCGTTGGCAGCAGCCGCCGCCGCCGCCGCCAGTCACAGCTCGCGTTCCGAACAGAACTGACACGTCGGCGCACCGTCAGCAGCGAATCGCAACGGTTAAAGCCAAGAAAAATTTGAAGAGAATAAAATATAAGAAAAACAACTAGATAGTAAGGAAAAGCAGCAAAGGCTAGAAGTGTGTGTGAATGTGCAAAGCGAAAAAGAAAAGAATTGTTTGTAATCAGACAGCGCAAACAAAAACATTGTCAAACGGTTGAGAGAAATACCAAATTCACAAAAAAAGAAGAAAAGAAAGATAACTTTTTTTTGTGGAATGTTAAGCGAATCGAAAAGATTTTGTTTGTGAGATTTCTATGCCAAAGAAATATGCTAATATAACCAATGCGGACGTCGCGTTCCCGTTCCCGTTCCCGTTCCCGTGCCCGTGCCCGCGCCCTTGCCCGTTCCCGTTGCCGTCTCTCAAAACAAAGTTGCCCTCGTCGCATATATATATATAAGTAAAACAAAACTAAAACCAGTTTAATGAACCTTTTAGCTGAACATATTTTCAATGGGACTAGACAGCTGCTTGGCTTAAAGGTTGAAATCGGTTGAAATCAACGTCAAAAGCGTAGAAAACTGTCGCCCTGCAATTTGCAATGTTCATTGAACATGATTCTGGTGTGTATGTGTGTGTGTGTGGCAGCCATTTTGTTAAGAGCTTGCAACATGCCACAGCCGCAATTTGGCTCGTTTATTGGCCAAGTTAAAGGCCCCGTGTGGCAGTGCAGCACACATAATCAAGCGACAGGCGCACATAGTTCAAACCCAAGCTCATAGATACACACACACACACACACAGGCGCACACTCGCGCAGCAGCGGGAAGTGGTCTGCATTTATATTTTTCTCTCTTTTTTGTCTGCTCTTGCTGTTTGCTTTGCAATTTTCAATCTGTTGTCGTTGGCTTTTCTATGTGGTTCAAGGCGCACTTGTTGCATGCCTTTGTTACCCGTTGCAGAAGGAAGTGGCACGCCCTATGACAAAGCCACATACAGCTGCAGCAACATACGGCTACAACAACAGATCCAACAGATACGCGTACTGTTGTTTGCCATGCCACTTAATGCGGCTGCAGCTCGAAACCCGTTGGGATAGGTTGCCAGCCTGTTGCTTTAGCTGTATGCCACATTTACACATACTTGCAACTGGCGGTATGCGGCAAGGGCGTGCCGGACAGGTACGCGTAAGATCAGCCGCACAGATTGCAATTTCTTCGACTGCCTGCTGCGACAACGTGGCTGCCACTTACTTTCCCACTGACTTGACACAACACACAAATATTTGAGCGGACATTTCGTTTTCGTTGCGTTGAGTTTCGTTTCGTTTCGTTTTTTTTTCTCTCTCTGGTATAATGAGTTGTGGCCACACCTCTTTCTTTTGAACAGTGCTTTTACCCCGTTGCCGCTGCTGCTGCTGGTGCTTATGGCTATTTCCGCTGTCCAACATATTGGCATACATGCCCAATTTCACAGCTAGTCCGCTGCCTCTGCCCTTGCCCTGCCCTGCCCTGCCCTTCAGCCGCTGCCTCTATCACTCTGCATTTTTGTGATTTTATGAGCCACATTCAAAGTGAAATTTTTGTTTGGTACCCGCATGGCGCACAGGCAACTGGTTTGTAAGCGACGGTCAACATAAATTAAAAAAAAAAAGAAACAATAATAATAAAACAAACCAAATACGCAATTAAAACAACTGATAAATTACAAATCGTTTGGCTTTTAATTTTGTTTTGCGACGGCCGCGGCAAACGTTGAAAAACGCGAGAAAAACGTGCGCGATTCGTGATTTTCGTTGAACAACATTTTTGTGCAATGCTCGACGAAATATGTAGAAAAAAAGCAAAGAGAGCTCGTTAAACTAAATTGTTTTGTTGAAATTCGCACAGTGCAGCATTTAACACAAGCATTATAATATACATAAAAAATACACAAGTTATTTTTTTAAAAAATTAATAATTAAAATAATACAAAAATAACAAGTCGCTGACATAATCGCAGCGCGTTCAACAACTTGACTTTCAAGTGGTTCAAGTTCAGACGTGCCGCCCGCTTTGCAATTGTGTATTGATATACAAAAGAATAAGGTCCAATCACGCGTTTTCAGACAACATCTTGCACTGCCCCAACAACAACAACAACAACAGCAACAACTACAACTACAGCAACAAAAGCCTCGCTACCAACGCTCCAACGCATCATCAGCAGCTACCAACACAGTCACCACAAAACGTAAATCTCCATTCTGCGAAATCAAATACCAAAAATTCTATAGTTATAGATACATGTGTATATAGATACATATGTGTGCATAGATACATTTATATACATCAACTATTCGTAACGGTCGCTGTCAGACATTCTGGCTTTGAATTCTTCTGCTGCTGCTGCTGCCGCTGTCGCTGCTGCTGCTGCTGTGGCGACAGCTGCTGGCCATCTAACGGTTTGCATGCCGCAGTCACGTAACCGATTTCGTATACGCACACACACACACACACGCTTGCACGTAGATACTCTGGCACTCACACAGATACTCGTATGCATATTGAATAACAGCATTCAGCCATCTACTCTTAACTGCACTTGTTCTCTGGCCACATGCCGGAAAAGTTGGTCGCTGCCAGCGACAGCTACGCGGCAACAAAACCGGCCGCGGCCAGAACCGCTAAGAGCAACAGGTAGCCACACCGAAGTCAAAAATACCCTTATTCGTTACGTGAATCAGGCACAGGATGCATTGAGAAGTGGTTGTCCGCCCGAACAGGTTGGAGCTCGAACCAAACATAAAGCCGGATTTGTTGACCAACAAATTTGTTCAAATAATCGTTTGTTTTGAATTGGTTCAAACCGTTACCTGGCTATTAACTTTCAGAATGTCGCCGGAAATAAACGTGGGAATAATATCCATTGTATGAGTAAAACTCGCAAAGAACTTGCTCGAAGATAGTTTGAAGCTTTGTTTTGTCAACCTAATCCTCACTTCGTTTAAGCTGCCTGCTTCAACTCAGCTTGTTGAGATCAATTGTATTACTTACTGGGGTATGTCAATCTAGAGGTAAAAATACTTTTCTGAGATTGCAAGCAATCTTTCTTAAATCACGCTTTTATTGTGTTTATAGAGCAGCAAACTATGCAGTAATGATGCCAGCTTAACTTTGAACTAGATTTAAGAACTAGAACTAACGGCTAATATGCGCAACTAGATAATAAACTATTTGTTAATTGTATAGACTGTTTAGTGCTTAAATCAAGCTCAAGATAATTATCAGAGCTTATGTCTGACTTAGAGATTATCAACACGAAGAGATGCATAATGAACTTAATCTGATCTACTTACACAAAATCAACTCTTAACATAAAGTTCTGAAAGTACCTAAAAGTTATGTTTGCAAAGTTCAAATGTAGTACAACAAGGTTCAATACTTTTATTGTCTAAAACTAGTTTTTTAATGAACTTCAACTTGAATGTTGAACATTTTTGAATTCCTTATAATTTCTTAATGTTTGTTATTCATATTATGTCCTGTTCGTGTAATAGAGTATATATGAATCGAAAACCAAGCAGCCGCCTGGCAACTTCATACGCTCGTTTAGCACACGCAATTCGACCGAGAATTCGCACTCACATGAGCTTCACACACGCCACAAGACGTGCATAAGACTCTCTTGAGATGGCTACAAAAACAACAACAAGAAAACCCCACCAAAACTGAGCCCGCTAGAGACGCAAATGCAAGCAAAGTTCAAGTTGCAGGCTCGTCTGTGCAACGCGTAGAATGTGGCAGTGACAAAGAGGCAGAGCTTAATTTATGAGCATGGGAAACTCTAACTTGAAGCTGTTGAGGTTTATTAGATGACCAGCTAACTGTTGTTTACATGCAGCCCGAGCTGTGTGTGTGGCTGATAAATGCTGGCCCAAAGTGTGCCGCCAATTGGTGGTCAACAAACCCCGAGAGCGGCATTCAAATTGAGCTGCGGTAGTTTTGAGTGTGGCAACAACAACAACAGTTCGCGGCCGAATTCGGTTTCAATTTTTTAGTTGGCTCATCGCAAGAAGTTTCCCAGGCAAAAAGGTTGGGTTTTTTTCCGGCCAAAATGAAATGTTGTTGCGCAAGACAAAAAAGTGCCAACTCAAATCGAGTTTTGAGCGACAACGCAACAGTTTGATTTTCCATTGAACTGAAACGACGACGGTACGGTACTCAACTGCTGTGGCAATTTTCATGGAAAAGCCATAAAAAGCAGCACCAGCAGCTGCAACCGAAACGAGTGCTAAAAGGAAAAGTGCAGCAGCAGCAGCAGACGAAAAAAAAATATGAGAAAGAGAAATGTGTGGAAAGTTGCAAACAAAAGTAAATTTTTGCGCCAAGCTAAAACACGACAGCAACAACAACAACAATCGACTTAATCAATAAAAAAAAAAACGAAGAAATAAGCAAAACATTTAACGAGCTGCTCGTAATTGCCAATTGCAAGTTCAATTCGCTTAGCGTCAGCTCACGAATGCATCTCTGCCTGTCTGAGCCTCAAACTTTAATGGCTTCGAGCTGCTTGCGTTTCGCAATGCTCCTACAGTCTGCTCCAGCTCCATCTCCATCTCCAACTGTAGCAACTGTAGCTACTGCAACTAACTTTGGCCAATTAATGTGCTATAATCTGCCCGAGTTGATTGTCTAAGCATTTGCAGCCTACTGTCCGTGCCCACTTGGATGCCCACAAATGCAGATACAGCTACAGATACAGATACAGCTACATCTTGCAGATACAAATACGCAGCTCAAGATACGCACTTGTGCCTCGCACTCAGCCAGCTGGCAACGAGGCGGCACAAATTGTTGTTGCGTTTGCTGCGTAGCAATTGCGACAATTATAATGGGACGCAGCGGAAAACAATGCGAAATCCAAATAGAAACCTTGTTTTGACTTCCACGCGGGGGCTGCCACAGAAATGCTGTACGTTTCATGTGGAAAGTTGAAGAATTGACACAGAAACAACCAAATTCCAATTAGACAAAAGAGATGTGGATGATGTTAGAAATATAAAGACAATGACATATGCATATCTTTATGTATTTTATTATATATAAGAATCTGAGAAAACGGTTATATTTTTATCCATACAAGAAATTATAGAAAATTGAATAACATGTTATGCACATGTCAACGTATAATTATAAATTCATGTAATAAAGTCGTTACAATATATGTACTTTAAACAAGGTTTAGGTAGGTAGGTCTTAAAAAAATCTCAAAAAATCTCAACAAAAAAATCTCTCATTGTATACCTTTCATAAGTCTAGAAATAGGATCAGGTTTTTTATTCAACTATATATTTTATACATTTTAAGTATATGTTAATTTATTGAGCCACCCTCGCTATAGCCACGAACTGTGTCGCTTGTCTTAGTCAACGCGTGCAGCGTCTCAATTACCAGCGCTTCGGCAGCATAAAGTCGCTTTTTGGGTCAAATAACCTGGCCAGAGAGTGTGTAAGGGCAGCTCGAATCACATACACACGCATATCTTTTATCTGAGCTCTTAACTGACAATCTTTTTCTGATTTGTGCTTGATTGCAGGTTCACCGTGGCACGCTGAGATCATGTCGTCACCCGGCCTAACCGCTCTGGGCGAATCCACACGCCTTGTTCCCGCCAATACGCCGGCGGTTTTTGAGATACTGCCGCCTCCTGGACAAAGCCTGAGCAAAGGCGAGTGCGTGGCAACGGTCTTGACTCCAAGCAAGTCAAAGCTGAATGCCAGAGTCACCCATGAGGCGGCAAATGGTGCTGCACGCATTGAGTTCGTGCCCACCGAAGTGGGCACGCACATCATTGATGCGTCCATCAATGGCACGAAGATCGCTGGCGGTCCTTTGATAGCAAAGGTCTACGATGCCAGCTTGATCCAAGTGACCGAGGTTAACGGCGGCGTGGTTGGCCAGCCGTGCCAGTTTCGTGTGGACGCCAGTGCGGCTGGTGAGGGACAGCTGGAGATATCCATAAATGAGGGCGAGGTGCCCAACCATGTCCAGGTCGTTGGCGGCGGTCGTTGTCTCGTCTCCTTCACCCCCGAGCAGGCCAAGTCCCATTTGATAGACATCAAGTTCAATGGGGAGACGGTGCGCGGCTGCCCCTTTGTCTGTGCCGTGGCGGACACCTCGCGTGTTCTCCTCAACCTGTCCAATCTGGAGCTAATACCGGTCAACAGGCCCTCCTCCTTTCACATCACGGTGAGCGGTGGTGGAGCCGCTGAGCTGGCGGTCAGCGTACGTGGGCCACACGGCGAGTTGCCCGTCCGCGTCACTGGCGATATACACGCCGGCTTCACGGCGGAGTTCACGCCAACCAGCGTGGGCGGCCACTCGATAAATGTGGAGTACAATGGCTTTGCGGTGCAGGGCACACCATTTCTGGCCAAGTCATATGATGCCAGCAAGGTGGTCGTTGGTAGCGTCTCCCGTGGCACCATGGGTCGACCCGTGCAGTTCACTGTGGATGCGGGCGATGCTGGCGAGGGCAATCTAGAAATAACCATATCGGCCAAGGGTCAAAATATACCCACACAGGTGCATCCCCAGGGCAGTGCAAGGTAAGGATGATCAGGTGTTACCTGCCAGATACCAGATGCTCTTACTTACACTTTTCTCTCTTTGTCTCTGCAGATTCTCCGTTTCGTTTGTGCCGACGGAGTCGTGCGAGCACACTATTAATGTCTCCTTTAATAAAATGCCCGTGCCCGGCTGCCCAATAACGGTTAGCATTAGCGGCGGCGTCGCCGGGCCCCAGGTATCCCTTGGCGGTCCCGGGCCGGTGCATCAGACCAATTCTTTTGTTATCAATCACAATGGCGGCCGTTTGGAAGACATTGAGGTCAACGTCGAAGGTATGTAGCTGGCCAGGAGCTGGCTGAACGGGCTCGCTCTCACACTAACACAGGGTACTCATGCGCTATGTGTACCTCTCCCCCCTTCACATTTATAAGCCCCTCCGACCAACCCTCTATCATTATGCTCTGCTCGCCTTCATTTTGTTTGCGTGTGGTTTGATTTGCATTTTGCATTTGATTTTGGTTCAAGTTATTCGTAATTGTAATTAAATTGCTCGTTACTTAAATGATAATTGTCTATGTATGTGTGTGTGTTTGTGGGAGAGAGTAATCGATATCACACACACCCACACACACATACACTCACACACATACGCATACATATCTGCTCATAATCCGTATCTTTAGCTAGCATCTTATCCGTATCCGCATCGGCACACAAAAACACATGACTTTTTTTCCCACACACACACACACACACATATTTTCACACTTTTCAACACAATCTACGGAAATTGTTGTTGAAACTTTTAAGCATGCCAGCACGCCCCAGGCCGCCCACCACCCCGCCCAACCCTTTTCAATTGTAATCCACCCACAACTGGCCCCTTAACTCAACTCTACTCACAGCTCTATTTCTGCTTCACACGCAGCGCTCTTGACAATAGCTTTGCTCCACCGTGTGGCAGCTTGTAAACTTGTGTGGCACCCCGCACCACTTAGCCACTGTGGCTAACTGAGTGTGTGTGTGTGTGTACTGTGCTCATTTAGTATATATAATTATGCGTCATATTTATCATTTTGGCAATTGCTACGGTTACACTTCGACGCATTAGCATCTGTGCTTAGGCTTTACAAACTCTGGATTATGCCATGGCCGCAACTGTGTAGGCGTGTGTAAAAGTCTGTGTATCTGTGTGAGTGTGTATAGGCATTAGAATGTACGTTATGTAATTGATTCCACTGTAGTATATCAGCACATTTAAATGTAATTACTTTTTAATCGTACTGTATATAAACATTGTAGTATGCGTATGCGTACGTGTATGTGTGTGTATCTGTGGTCTTTATTTCTATATATGTATGTGTGTATGTTCGGTATCTAGTTGTGTTTAAATGTTTTGTAATCTTACGCCCTTTAATTTGTAATAATTTGCTCACTTTTATATCTGTATTATATTTCAGGACGGCGAAATCTTTTGTACTAGACTCTATAAATATGCATATACTTACCTATCTATATATATATATATAACTTTATATATGAGTACTTTCTTTCTCTCTCACTCTATATATATGTATATACTAGCTCCTTATATCTACTCTATATATATATTTATATATATATATATGTTCCGCCTAACAGTCCGTTTAAATTAAAAACAAACCATAACCCAACAGCGTGTTTACCAAGCGAAGTACTACTGTATCGACCACGAGTGAAAGAACCACAGCAGCAACAACAACTATAAAAAAGCACCCACTACACCACACTAAACAACAAAGTACTCGTTTTTTTTAATTTACTACTAATGTCCTTTTGCGCCTCAGGGCAAAATATTTACTAATTTGTTCAATTGATTTTTGTCTTTTAAAAGAAGCGCAAGCAAACAAATAAAAAGATGTTTTACAAACATGATATATGCATAAAGGATTGTGTGTATTGGTATTGTTTTGTGTTCAGGCAGACTATCAGTATTGTACATAAGCTATATAGACACTAGAAGTATATAACTACAGGGATACATAATTATAATATGTCTGCTCGCTGCTCGCTCTGTCTCTACAAAAAATACATGCAACATCTCAAGTTTACTAACCGTTTCTGGCACGTTCTCGGTATAATACTCAAGGCAACAACAGCAACCACTACAACCACTAACAACCACAACAATTACAACACCTGACAACCCACTAACCAGCCCGTTGGCATCGTTCATATTAAGCTCTTTACAAAAACACAAATCCAAGCCTAATGCCGTTACTAATCTGAGTAAACATTTTTCCAAATTTTTTACCAATTACGCGAAACCAAAAAATTACCATAAACAAATCACTAACTACACCACACAACAACAATTACGACAACTACAACTGCAAACTAAATATATATGAATTTCAACAAAACAATCAAATGAAACCCTCTCAAAACTCATTTCCGGCCGCGTCGCAATCGAAAATTCTTGATTAAAAACTTAAAACCTAATAATACTAAAAACGAAAAAAAAAAAAAACTAAATATACAAATAAAATGCAAAATGTGCACATTGCAAAATCGGGACAACTCAGGTCCCGCCGGACAATCAGTGCCCGCCCAGGTGCATCAGTCCGCCGAGGGCGTCTTCAAGGCGGAGTTTGTGCCCCGAGTCGTCGGCGAACATCGCGTCAATGTCACTGTCAATGGTTTGCCCACAGCTGGCAGTCCCTATGCGGCTAAGGTAAGTTCATGTATCCTTATCCAAATGTAGCTTGTAAAGTTCATGTTAACTTTCCTAAGCCCATAACTAGGTCGAAACTCAAGCTATAGTAAGAAAATGCTATTTGGCCTTGTCTTACCCTCGACATGTTTAAATCGTCATTCATTTCTTGGTCAACCGCATACTAAAAACGACGAACATTTATTACAAATATTTGTTGGGGTCAAAGATGTCCCCTTTTATCCCTTTCACCTTTCATTACAAATTTATAATACTCATAAGAAACTTAATTTGAAAAAAATGATACCACTCTCACCGTGCTTGTGACTATCTTTCAGATATATCGCTCCTTCCAGATCCGACTATAAAGCCTATATTTGTACATTTTGAACATTAACCTTTTCCCTCTCCACAGGTTTATGACGTCAGCGCCATTAAGGTGAAGAATGTGAGCAGTGGAACGGTGGGTAAGCCTGTTACCTTCCTGGTCGAAACATCCCAGGCTGGTCCCGGCAATCTAGAAGTCACGGTAAATGGCGGTCGCGTGCCCACCTCGGCACAGGCACAGGGCCAGCACACATATGCGATCAGTTTTACGCCACGCGAAGCCGAGAGCCACACGGTGGAGCTGCGCTTCAACAGCCAGGATGTGCCCGGCTCACCATTCACATGCCGCGTGGCGGCCGCAGCACGCATACAATCCCCTGAGACCATGGACAAGGTCAGCGTGGGTCGCCTCTTCGAGTTTGTGGTGGAATCAGACACCAAGCCAACGGTGGAGGTGCTCGGCCCGGCCAGACGAAGTGTCCCGGTGAAGATCGATGCACTCGGCTCAACGCTGGGCTACAATATCAAGTTCGAGCCCATGGAGGTGGGCGATCATTCGGTGGAGGTGCGACTGCCTGGCGGCGGTCATGTGGAGGGCAGTCCCTTCCTGCTGAAGGCCTACTCCGCCGAAAAGGTAATCGTAACGGACATACGACCTGGCGTGGTCAACAAGAGCGTCAGCTTTGGCATCAATGCCTCGCAGGCGGGTGCCGGTAATCTGGAGATCATTGTCGCCGTCAACGGCAAGAATGTGCCCAACTTTGTGCAATCCGAAGGCAATGCGCGATTCAAGGTGAACTTCAAGCCCACGGAGGCGGCTGCCCATTCGCTTTCCGTGCGCTTCAACGGACACCCGGTGCCGGGATCACCCTTTAGCTGCCACATAGCAGCTGCTGCCACCAGTTCTACGGGCTTGCCACGCGCCCAGGCGCTGGGAGAATGCCTAAAGCAGGCGGCCGTCAAAATGGACAACACCTTCGAGCTAGAGGGCTTTGAAGGCATCGAGCCACAGATATTTGTTACGTCGCCCGCCGGCGACAACGAGCACTGTCAACTGAGTCAGCACGATGGCGGCAGCTACAGCGCCTCCTTCCGACCCAGCACAGTGGGCCGGCATTTGATCAGCGTGTTGGCGAATGATCAGCACATAAATGGATCGCCTTTCAGCTGTAATGTGTTCGATGTCTCCCGCGTGAGCATCAGCGGCCTGGAGCAGCAGTATGGACCTGCCACGCTTGGCGTGCCTGTCACCTTCAGTGTGGATGCAGCTGGCGCAGGGGAGGGCACACTTGAGCTGGTGGTGTCCACCGACAGCAGCACCGTCAAGGCCGAGGTGGTCGCCTGTGCACGCGGCCTCTACGACGTCACCTTTGTGCCGCAGAGCACCGAGCCGCATTATGTGAATATTACGTTCAACGAGGTTGCCGTGGACGGCAGTCCCTTCCGCGTGGACATTCAGCAGCACACCCAGCACATACAGATTGGCAGTCTGGCAGCCATTGACTTTCCGGCCGATGATCAGATTGTAGAGATATTGGCGCCCGATCAGAAGCCCGTGCCGTACACCATCAATCGCCAGACGGCGGAGTTCCGCACACACATGACCGGCAACTACACGCTGCGCTTTATTGACCGCGAGACGCGCCAGCACATTGGCACACGCACACTCTGCGCCTTCGATCCCATGCTGGTCAAGATCACCGAAGTGGGCGAGGCTTTGTGTCATCGTCCGGCCAGCATCAGCGTGTCGCTGAACGAAGCCGGGCAGGGTGATCTGTCGGCGCTGGTGCGTTGTGGTGTCACCGAGGTGCCGCACACCATACGCGGCCCCAGCAAATCGGGCGTCTACGAGATTGTCTACCAGCCGACGCGTGTAGCGCCGCACAAGATAAGCATACTCTTTAACGATGTGCCCATATCACTGAAGCCACTCGAAATTAATGTGCTGCCTGCCAGTGCTGGCAAGGAGATCAGCGTTAGCGGGCTGGGTCTGTATCAGGCGCGCGTGGGCAAGACCACATCCTTTGCCATTGACACAGTGAAGCGGCCGGCGCGAGAGTTTGATGTTGTGGTCTCTGGGCCCGGTGGCCAGGCGCTGCCCGTGCGCTGCTATCAGACAAAGAATGGACACCTGCAGGCGGAGTTCAGCATTAATAAACCGGGTCAATGTGTTATCGGTATGTACCGCCTTCACAGCCTTGTCCTTGTCCAACCTCAAATCTCGAATCGTTTTCTTTTGCAGAGGTGCTGCATCAGTCGAAGCCACTGCCGGGCAGCCCCTTCACCTGCGAGGCGTTTGACAGCAGCAAAGTCAGTGTGCAGGGCGTCACCAAAGAGCCGCTAGCGCTGCACAGCTCCAATAGCTTCACCGTGCGCACAGACAATGCCGGCACTGCCGAGCTGGAAGCCTTTGCCATTTCGCCCACTAACCAGAGCCTGCCCGTGCTCATCAGTGAGCAGTCCGAGGGCATTTACAACGTGGAGTTTGTGCCCTCCCAGCCGGGCAACTATAAGCTAACGCTCATGTATGGCGGTGAGACGATTCCCAGCTCCCCGCTCAACTTCAGCGCCTCGTCGAGTGGCGTGCGTAATGATGCACGCGCTGCTGGCCACGGCCTGGAAGTATGTCATCGCAACAAGGAAGCCTCCTTTGTCGTCTATTGTCCCATTGCACCCAATGTGCAGATCGAACGCGTGGATGAGTTTGGCGAACGCATCGAGCCCAAGATCAAGGCGCTGGGCAACAACGAGTGGCGCATCTCTTATGTCATTCTATCGGTGGGCACCTACGAGATTCGTGCCAGCTGCCCCAACCGCGGCAGTCTGCCCGGCTCACCTTGGCGCGTCTGCTGCGTGGAGTCCACCAAGGTCACTCCTGTTGGCGGCTGGGGCACGCTGGTTGATCATGACGGACGTTTAATATTGCCGGCACGCATTATCTTCGATGTGGAGAATGCCGGGCCCGGCAAGCTGGTCTGCAGCATCGATGGCATTGAAATACCCGTCGATAAGCTGGCCGATGGCAAAATGTGTCTCAACATCACGGGTGACAATCTGGCCGCCGGCGAGCATGATCTGGACTTGACCTGGAGCGGTTTGACCATCACACAGTGCCCACGCAGCGCCTTTGTAACGGGTCAGCAAGCCGCCGACAAGGTGGTGCTAATGGGTCGCGGACTGGCCGCCGCCCAGGCCGGCGAGGCGGCGCACTTTACCATCGATGCCTCCAATGCGCCAGCAGGCCGCCCGGAAGTCATTTTGATCACGCAGGAGAATACTGCGCTGCCCGTGAGCCTGGCACAGCCGCGGCCCAGCGAAAACATTTGGCTGGCCTCGTACACGCCGCAGAAGTCCATGACGGGCACTCTGACGCTTTCGGTCAAGTGGAATGGCCGGCTGGTCAAGGGCTGCCCGCTCACTGTGGCCGTTGGTTCCTCCATGGACGCCTCGAAGGTCATTGCGTCTGGTGAAGGTCTGCGCCACGGCATCGTCGGCAAGGACATCAAATCCTGGATAGACACCCGACGCGCCGGACCTGGCGAACTAACCGCCCACTGCGCCGGCGCACGCAAGGTGGCCTACTGCGAGCTGTATGACCATGGTGATGCCACGTTTACGCTGAACATTAAGCCACAGGAGCCGGGTCGCCATCTGCTGACCATCAAATACGGCGGACAGAATGTGCCCGGCTCGCCCTTTGCGCTCAAAGTGGCCGGCGCACCAGATGCCAGCAAGGTGAGTAATAGAGAGTAGGGCTTTGCCTAGCTTTTTTGCACATAATCCATTACATATGTGGATCTTTAACCCAACAGGTTCGCGTTTATGGGCCCGGCATCGAGCATGGTGTGCTGGCCACCTTCCAATCGCGCTTCATATGCGACACACGTGGCGCTGGCGCCGGGCAGCTGACGGTGCGCGTGCGCGGACCCAAGGGCGCCTTCCGCGTGGAAATGCAGCGCGAAAGCCAAAAGGATCGTACCATTCTGTGCAAGGTAAGCAGGCGTCTTTGTATCTTTAAAGAGTGTGATTAACTTGGCTTCTTCTATGCGATTCCCAGTACGATCCAACGGAGCCAGGTGACTATCGCGTCGAAGTCAAGTGGGCTGGTGAATTTGTGCCCGGTTCGCCGTTCCCCGTCATGATCTTCGACACTGAGGAGGAGTTACGAAGGTACTTGCAGGGCATATGAGGCCAGATCAACCATCCCATCATCGTCTTCCCCAGTGGCCTGAGTCCGCCCATTCGCTATCAGCCTGCAGCTGCCACGCAGCAATCGCGTCGTGCCGCCTGCGTGCCACTCTAGCGGATGGCACAAATATTTATAGTGTATATGTGGGGTACCCACATGAGCACGCACATGTAGCTACAATCGCAGATCATTAAGGTCAACCATTATATATATAAATATATATATAAACCTATGTTACGAGTAATAGTTAAGTTTTATAACCGAACGAAACGAATCGACTACCATAAGTCTAGATGAAGTCGCGGCCCGCCAGGCTCAGCTCTTCGGGCTACAAAAGTCTTCGGCGCTACGATAAATAGCTTTCTGTTCTTATAGTTGTAGACCTAATACCTATGTAATACAATGTTATTATTGCGAAACAATTTGATCCAAATGCTTAACAACGTATTCAATACAAATACACGACATTAAAAAAGTACACATACATACTGCCGAAACCTAAAAGAAAATCCAGAAACCGCAAAATATTGTATTTGCGAAAATCATAGCATACTTTTGTGCATGCCTCAAAAGATGCAATCCCTGATTCGTGCTGCATGCTTCTTGGGATTTCAATTAACAAGAATGGCTCAGCAAACTTTAAAATTGTTCAAGGGACAAGGTGCGCTTATTTACTTTATCGATTAGAAATTTATATAAAAACAAGCAAAACTACCAGGACTATTTCAATGTCATTGATAGCATAGTTTTCTTCTCTTCTGAGACTCGTTAGGTCAAGCAAGGATTTGGCCATTAGGTAAGCAATTTGTAGGCCTATAAGGCAATGTAAATCAAGCAAGTATTATACACGAAATCTTTCATATCTTAAAAGTTACCATGACGACAAGAATGTCCTGCATAGCCGAACAGTTGATATTTTGTTTAGAAAATGATTTTTTAAAGATTTCTCGTACTTTTTCTCGTATAATCCATTTGAAATAAATTCTTCGGTGTTCAGCATAAATATAAGCTAAAAAGCATTTGGTTCAATCTTATACATAGCACGTAAATAACACAAGTTTATCGTTATTTGATATGAATATAGATGCTACCTAATCCTAAAAAAAAACCTATAGAAAACACTGAAACCTATTAGAAACCCATATGAAATGTCGCCCATGGCTAAACCTGTTTCTCTATCTCCCAATCCTCGGGCAAGACAAATTCGTTGACAAACTCTTTACGATATTTGCGCAGAAATTTGAGAAGATTCGCTTCCAGAAAATGTTTGCATGCCTCATCGAAATCGGAATTGCCAAAATTCACGCCCTTGGCGCTTGACGAAGTACATGTGCCCTTGCCCTTGATGAAGTACATGTGCTGCAGCAGCGTGATGAGCGTAGAATGATTTTTGTTCTGCATGTCATCGAAACGATCGTGCATTAGATATTCGGTCCAGGGCGCCTCAAAAAAGCTAACGAAATCCTTGAGCAGACCCATTTTCCAACGACTATACATATTATTAAGCAGCGTCTCATGCTTTCCGCAAAAGAACTCCAGAAAATAGAGAGGCTTATATAGCTGAGCAGGCATACAAAATTCATGCCGATTACATAGGAATCTGATTACATATATATAGATATATTTATCTTACCTTACGTGTAACGCACACCATTTCCTCTACAATCAGATTCTGGCTCATGCGAACGCGAAAGAAATCACCTGAGCTGGAGTAGCTAGTCATGAATTGGCTGTACTCATTTGAGAGCTTGCCCAGTAAAAAGCGCTTGGGCACAGTTATCTTGATGACCATATGACCCAGGGGCAGTAGACAGTGAAATAAACATGGCTTGCTAAACTTGCGCTCCTTGGTATACGGCTCCTGGCTCAGCTGCAGTATGTCTATCAACTGGAAGCGGAAATGTTTGGAAATCCGGGATGAAGCATGCAAAGGCCAGCTATCACTCACCTTTTGGGCCATCTCGCATTCGCTGGTATAGATGTACTGATAGAATGAATCCCAGAGAAAGGTTACATGTTTGCCAGCCGCATAAATATTCGGATCATTTGTGCAATAATCCTCATCGACAAGTATCTTGCGATTCTTCATATTAATATCACTGTTGAGAAGCACTGAAAGCATACAAATATTTTTAATCATTTAGTAAATATTCCCCATCTTCAAGATACCCACTTCGTTCTATGGACATGGGCATATAGTTCTCCATAAAATTGATAAATATACTACAGGACAAGGACAGAGTATTTCCGCTGGGTAATAGCTTGAAGTAGACCTTATCAATAAAGTTCACTTTTGTAAACAACGAAAAGCTCATAAAATTGGCTGATTCGTGGACTCTAATGCCAAGATCAGAAACCATTTGCACCAGTATGTTGTCCAGGTTCTTGTCATTTGTGGGATTATTTAAATACTCGGGCTCCATCACCTTATGCGGCTGTACATACACAATATTCTCGGGTCGACAGTTATGCTTCAGCAGGAAGTCAATGCACTCGTATAGAGCCAAGGTGTAGCCATAGATGATAACCTTTTTTTTGGACAACTCACACTCGTTCAGCTCCTCGAGCTTGTGATATAGCATAATCTTGTCTAGGCGTCCATTGATGTGCGCATAGTTATATGGATAGGTTATATGATGGGACTCATCAATCCTTCCCAGCGTAGGCAATCCAAACTTGGTATCACACAGCAGCAGCAGCTTGTCATAGAAAATTTTGCAGTTGTTATCCAGACGAATGAACTTTTCATCACTGCAAAACGGTGCGTATACGTAATAAACAAACCCAAACCAAGTAAAGTTACTCGAACACCCACCGATTAATATACGATACCTTTCCAGACACAAAGTTGATCCAGTTGCGCATATCCAGGCGTTGTGTAGTGTCCATTACAAAGGGACAACTGTTCTTATTGCTCAAATAGCATTCCTCTTTGCGGCCACAGTATTGGCACGCAACATTGGGATCGTACTCCGCCTCGATCTCGCCATTTTCGACAATAACTGTTATTTCCACAACAGGCAGGCAGTTGTTTACACTCACGTTCTTGTAGCTGAGGGAAGGACATTGTAGAGTAATCCAAGGAAAAGGTCAAAAACATTTCAGCTCCTACTCGGGCGTATTCCAGCCAAAAACCATGAGACGCAGAAAAGCCTTGCATATGTCCGAGAAGCCGACGATAACTATAGGATTTTGATTGCCAATGAATTTGGAGGGAAAAAGATTGTGTCGAAACAAATAGAACTGATCCATGACGCAGTTTATCTTCGAAAGATCCACCTGTGTCGACGAACGCCTGTAACAATGCTCGCTTTGGGTGTCTATGAACCAGTTTCTACGCATGCGACGCGGCTCCACTGGCATCATTTTTTGGGCCAAATCATTTGGTAAGGGCTCTCCGATGATTTCCTGAAAATAGAAGATTTCCCGATAGCCCGATCTTATGGCCACGGTGCGCAGCACCTCATCGGACCACATGTGAAAGTAGGGATGCAGACGCAGCATTACAAGCTCGCAACGGTCAAAGGTCATGTAGTCTTCATCGTGGGGCAGCACGAATTGCTTATACACCGCTTCGTAGTTCGAGAACGGACTGCGAGACGGAACGTTAAATGTATTTCACTAGCCACGCCCACTTACCGTAATATAGCAAAACCAACAGTCGTGGTATTCTCCCTGCTCGTGTGACCGCAACGTATAACCCAGAAGCTAAACTCGGACATCGGGTTATACAGCACATCGGAGCTAATCTGCTTAACGATTTTAATCTGATGGCTGACCGTCTCCTGGATATGCGATTCAAGGCCACTCTTTAGGCTCTCATTGCTAATTTTGGTTGGGTTGTTAACACTCATCAGCTTAATAACATCGTCGATGTCATCCTTAGCCAGGTGGTAGATACTGAGCTCTGTATTAATGGAACACCGATGTGCCACAAAGACCTCGTCGGACATTTCGGAGCTGGGGCGATGTTGCACGCGCTAGAAAAGTGGAACTCGAGCGGTTGTTAAGCCCACATCTATTCGAAATTACTCACTATAAAGTACTTAAGTAACGCCCAGAGGCTGGCGGAATTATTTTCGCTGGGTGACACAGGCACCACGCAATAATCACGATCCGGATATGCGCTAAACATCGCGCAGATGTAATAATAAGAGTACTCCAGTCTGAGACTCGGGTGCAGTATGAAGTTCTTCAGCAGAAACGCCCGGGAGGCATTGTTCAGGCAGTATTTCTTATTCTTGATCATGCTCTTGCGCGGCGGCAAATCAAATGATATGTTCAGAGTTTTCGGTACTTTGTCCAAATAGTTGCTGCTATTACATAGCTCTGCAATTGTAGAAGCTTACAAGAAGGTCCATTAAGGGCTCTAACCTACCATCTGTTATGTATTTGAATTTTGTGAAAAGGCGCTCATATGCACCCAGTAAGCCGGTATCATTTTGGGAATAGACACTGCGTTGACTTCCTTTTCTCAGCGAGACACCGCGCCGCTTTAAGTAATTCAAATTTTTCTTGAGATTAAAATATTGCCGCTGCTCTGCCGTGCTGCGTGGTCAGCCATTAGCGTAAGCCACTAATTCTGATCAACTATAATTATCTTACTTACAAGACATTGAATTGCACAGTGGCGTGTGGCACATCGGGAGTACATGTCACCAGGTTGCCCAAGCTCTCCAGATCAAAGTTCCTAATCAACTCCTCGATGTCCACCTCCTCCGTGAGCCACATCATACCCGTGCTACCATCAACTGAGGAACCGGCTTCCTAAATAATATGAGGTAATAAAGTATAAGTGCTCTAAATTTCCCTTTAATTTTCCGCCAATTTAGGTGAAGATACCAAAAGGTAAAGAACAACAGCTTTTCCTTAGTAATCCACCCTTGTTAGGGGAATTAGACGGGAAACTGTTATCAGTCCGTCAATCAATCAGTCAGGATAAGCCGTTCTTTACATAGAAAGTTCAGATTTACTTTGTACCTCTGTAACAATAATTTGATCCCTTTCTATATTGCCACCGGCTGTGCCCAGAAGCAACTCGGCTACAAAGTAATCTCCATGCTCTTTGCGCATTTTCGGCTCATGGACGTCAACCATGTCAACAATATCATCATTGTCCTCAGGTCTGTACAGTTATAGACTTTGCATTAATCTTTAGTATTGTGGCAGAGCTACTTACAGGGCTTTACGAAAAGATACGGATGGCATTAATTTTCTGCGCGTTATTACAATAATATTCGGCAGATTTTTGCATGAGAACATATCAAACGCAATGGGATAATAGACCTTACCAATGCTTTCCAGCTCCTCAAATTCCTTGGGTAAATAGTTTGGGGGCCTAGCTACAACTAAAAAAGATACTTTGTGCTCACGATAAAATACCTCCATTAAGAGTTGTCTCAAAATATCTTCATATTCCGCCATATGTATGTAAAAATTAAAAAATATTGTATTCATCAGCGTAATGGGCAGATCCACGCTACAGGGCACAACACGCAGGATTTCAAATCATATACTTAGATCTTATAGGCTCGTGATACCCTAGTCGAATTTCTCTTACCAAAAACGACATTTTAGCCACTGTGGCCAGCAGTCATTTGAGAGCACCGGTATATTTGGATATATGCAAAACTCGCTATATGCCAATATAGCCTTAGGATCCTTTGGTTTGCAGACGACCAGGCGATGAGTTTGATATTCATGGAATAGCTGCTTTAAGGGCGGCTCTCGCTTCTCGCCAATGTATTTCGCCGATTTCGAGGAGAAGAGCGCCTCAAGCAGCTCGATATCGTATTTGCAAGCCGTGCGTATCTCATACTCTGTCTCCATTTGTAGTATATGTGAGTAATTATTGTTTTTATTTTTTTATGTTTTAAAGTAATGAATTGTGTTCCATGCAACTACTCAGTTTACAAGTTATTTGAACATTGAAAATTTAGATTAATTCCCATGACCCGAGCGAAGGTCCCCAAAGTTGTCCGCGTGTAAGTAGTCCTCAGGCAGTACGAAATCGTGATGAAATTCCCCTCGGCGTTTACGTATAAAGTCCAATAGATTTTGTTCCAATAGCTGTTTGTTGACCTCACGTAGATTATTCTCGGTGTTCTGTGGAAAAGGAAAGTAAAGCTTTTAGATGCTATATGCGTACGTCCTTGGGTCAAGGCCTACCAAATCCAAATTTTGTATCAAGGGCATTAGCATTTTATGATTTTCTGCCTGAAAGTCTTCGAAATCATCGTGCATTAACAGCTCTGTCCAAGGCTCTTGAAGGAACCGCAAGAAGCACTTGATGTTACCTGCCTTATAGCGCGCTTTCAGATTATTCAACATCTTCTCGTGCTTGCCACAGAAGTGCTCCAGATAATCCAAAGGCGCACTCTACAAACAAAAAATGTATAAAACATGCACTGGCCATAGAAGAGGCTCTACACTTGAGCTCACCTGTTTAGTGACAACAACTATCTCATCCACAATCATTTTCGGGGTGAGTCCGATGCGGCAAAAGGTATTGTTCAAGTAGGTGCTCAGCGAGCATTTGGTACAGCCGAGGGCATAGCTGGCCAGATAGCGGCGAGGCATGGTCAGCTTGGTGATGAAGTAGCCAAGAGGCAGTATGGCCTTAAAGAATGAGGGCTGCGAGTATTTATAGTCAATAGGTGTGTCGTATTCACGTAGCTCTAGTATTTGCATTAACTATAAGAGATTGTAAAGAGCGTAAGATAAAGGCAAAAATAATTCCTTAGCACCCAACCTTTATAGCTGTTTCCTTCTCGTTTGTGTACTGGTACTGATGATTTATGGACTCATCGATTTCTATGTGCTTGCCCACGGCATAAATGTCCGGATCGTTTGTCTGAAAGTTCTTATTAACCAAAATATGTCTGCCTCGCAGCTTAATTTCCGATGCCTTCAGCCCTGTGTTAAAAGTAAACTGAAAAATTAGTTAGGCTTGAGATTAGTTAACTTACATTCCTCGGTGTTGGAATCCATGCAACCCTCCTGGAATGATATGAATATATCGCAATCGAATGAAACTCTCTCTTTCTTTCCTTTCCAGGGTTTAAACACAACCTCAAGTATGAAGTTCGCTGTGCCATGTTGTACCCAATGTGCAAAGGTGAGATCCCTATGTATTTGTACTTCGAGATCCTCTAATATGTCATCGAGTATGTACTGCAGATTCTCATCGACGAAGGGACTGGTAAGTTTCTGCTCCTTTTCAGTGCCAATCTTCTTATGAGGCAAGACAAGGATGATTCGCTCCGGCGCGACACCATGGGATATCAGAAAGGCTATGCACTCATAAGTATGCAAATTGCAACCATACATAAGTATTAAATAATCGCGCTTGTGCTCCTCTATGAGCACACGCAGCTTATAGAAGAGCAGAAACTTGTCAAGGCGGTTGTTGAGCTCAATGAAATTAGAGGGTATTCGCCCGGGATGATCCTCTTTGTGATCGTCCACTTTTAGTCTGAAGCTCAAATAGTTCATTAGCAGCAAAGTATCGTAGTATATCTCGCAGGTCTTATTAATCTTCACAAACTTCTTTTCCCTGTGACAATTATAGGGATTTGGAAGCGCTCATTAATTCGTAAGACTTACCTGTTAATGTAGTTCACATGCCCGGGCAGAAATTGTACCCAAAGGCGCAGATCCATGCGCATCACGACATCGCGCACATAACAGGAATAGTTTCGATGGCTTAAATAGCAGTGTCCACCCGGCGGGCAGTAGGGGCAATCGAACATGCAATCATATTCCGCCTCCACCAGACCGGGAGCTGCAATAACCGTAACCTGCAAGCGTGGAAGACAGTTATAGTTCTCCGCGTTCGCGTGGCTGCAGGGCATTTTAGCGATTGGTAAGTGGGATCCAGAAATGGAAATGGAATGCACTTACTCCTTAGTATTCCACTGAAAGACCAGCTGACGCAAGAACGCCTTGGCGTTAGCCGTAAATCCAATAATGACCAATCTGGTGGTCTTCCCAAACCATTGCGAGGGATTCAGCCTATGGCGAAAGACTACCAAATGATCACGATAGTAATCGAAATCGGGCAGGCCCGTAAGCAAGGTTTTTGAACCCCATTGAAGTTTTTTGTCGATATTGGTGAAGAAAAACTTCTTCATCGGCGTGGGCTCGATGGGCATCATCATTGTCTTCAAATCGTTGGAGAATAAAAATTTCTGCAGCATATCGAGTGCATATAAAATAAAGAAATATTTATGTAGGGTATATAAAAAAAGCCGTACATTACGTGCATATATGAAATAGAAATCAAAATATCTGGTCTTCGCTGCCAGGTTGCGAAGTATCACATCGCAGCAATTACTGAAGAGTGGATGCAATCGAAGCGATATAATCTCGGCACGCTCATTATCCAGATGCTGGTCGTTGTTGGGCAGATGATAATGATAATGCAATTCGTGATAGTGAAGGAACTTGCGCAAGATCACAAACCCAATGGCCGTATTGTGAATGGCCGCTTTGGTGGAATTGCCACAGCGTATGGTGAACACGTCGTAATTGCTGTTCTCCTTTTCCAGCACGTCGTTCATGATCTGCTGTATGACCTGGACCTCATTGTCAATGTTGACGAACGCATTCACCTTGGAGTTATACGAGAAGCTGCTGTCCGACGACAGGTCTCTCAGGTCGGAGAACATTTGGCCGCCCTTGGCCAGGTCCACCACAATATCAAAGTCTGTGCTTTCCAAGCGATAGAGGCTGGGCAGGTCGTTATGGGTAATCTAGAGATTGGCATGAGTATATTGGGGCGCCACATACCTGATTTCTCCGAAAATGGCGCTGCGGTGCGTGATATAGATATCAGTCAAGTTGGCCACTCTGGTGGGACGCATCGCCACGGGCTGTGTGAAAGGGGCAAAAACTACAAATCATGGATTTTCATTGTGGGCTTATGTGACTTGCCATAAAATATTTAAGCGCCTCCACGTGACTGCGCAGAGAGTTGAGGCTCTTTGGTATGGTCATTATGCAATAGTCACGGTCCGGAAAGGCCGCGTACATGGCATTCAGGCAGCTAAACAAACGCGGCAGAGGAAAATGCTCCTTCACACAGATGTACTTCAACTCAAAAACATTCGAGGCAGATTGCACGCCATCCACATGTCGTTTCTTCGTATCCGTATTATAATGAAGATTAATATACTTGTTTTGCTCATTAATGTAGTAGCCAGTCGTGACTAGCTCTGGAGGCATACAATTAAACAGTACGCATTAGGCATCAAGCTTTTTTTCTAGGACCTAAAACTTACTCTCGAATATATGCACAAACTTCATATACAGATCTTCACGACTGTAGAACTTATCCTGACTGGTCGAGACATTCGTATCTACGATATTTCCATGAATCGAGCTCACCTTTAGCTTGCTTAGACTGGCCACACTATAAGACAAAAGTGAGAACGCTCGAATCGAGGCTGCCCGACTAGCAGCTACTCTGTACCCAGCTCTAAACGCACTTTATTCCGAACTCGGGAAATTAAGATGAAACTTCATATGTGCATAAAAACTTTATGCCGGAAATCAACATACCAAATGTGAAATACTTAAGTGAAATAACTGCGAAGTATGCCCCAAAACTTAAGCTAATGTTTCATATATATCGATGTCGGGGATTTAAATGAAAATATCGAAAGCCTAAACAATCAGACAGGCAGAAGGATAGACAGCTTATTACATTCATACGATGCATTATACCCAGCGCAGACAGGGTATGTTAAGCTAAAGTGTTCAGAGCTGGGAAAAAAGGAAAATGATATATCCAACCTGATGCCACTATCATTGCGCTGCACGCCACCAATTATGGTCGTTGCGTTGAGGTCGTCCATGGCATCGGCTGTGAATAGGTTGGCCTCCGCTTTGCGCTCCACGGACCTGGGTAGAGGCTAATTGAAGCTATGCCTGGCAAAGATACACGAGGATCACTCACGACACAGTTACTTGCTCGTAATCGAACGGTTTGTTGGCTGAGAACTTGACCAGATTGCCGAACATGTCCATCTCAAAGTTCTGCACGTAGAAGCGTATGTCCACCTTTGCGTCTAGCCAGATAAAGCCCGCAGTATGCGAGTCCTGTTTTTCGTTCACTAGCTCGGCCACAATTATCACCGAATTCTTGGCATCCTCATCCGTGCGCATTAACTCTTCGGCAATATAAAAGTCACCCAGCTCTGCGCGCATCTCGGGCAGTTCGTGTTCGTGTATCTCGATTATGTCGTCGTTATCCTCGGCGCTAAGGATGCACTGGCAGGAGTTTAAGGATTTGGAAACGGTCGAGACTGTGACATGAACTTACAGAGCCTTGCGATATGTGATCTTGGGCAGAACTCTGAACCGCTTCGTAATATATAAGGACTGCGTGTTCGAATTGGAGGAAATGCTAAACTCGCGTGGATAATAGACCGTCGCATACTTCTCCAGATCATCAAAGCTCTCGGCATAATACAAATCCTCTTGCAATACCGGCGTTCGCACTGTTATCAAATACCAAACGCGATTCTCTATGTAAAAGACTTCACGCAGCAGCGCGAGTAACGCCTCCGGATGTTCCTTTTGATAGACGCAAAAGTTAAAGAACATGGTGTTCAGCCAGCTTATGGTGTCTGTGATGCTGATGGAGCAGGCTTTGTTAGCACTGCCAATTCAAAGATATCTGCCAGGCATATATCAAATTTTTACCAATATTTCTCATTCAGCCATTCCAGCCAGCTGTCGCTGGGCATTGGCCCGATTGCCGGATAATTGCGAAACTCGGCATAGGCTATTAGGCTGCTGTCCATGGTATCATTAAGCTCGACGGCCATGCGATGGGTCTGATACTTTTTGAAGATCTCATTCTTTTCGTATTTGGGACGCTTGTTGCCAAACCATTTGACAGTCGGCTCATAGATCAGCGCCGAGATGCTCCGCAGATCATCTTTGGTCGCATCGCGCACTGTGTACCCTTGCGACATTTGTATAAATACTCTATATGTGTATATATGTATGTGTAATTGTAATTTTGTTTGTTTATTTATTGTTTGCACTGTGTTTGAATTATGAATAGTAAGGCACATCATGTGCTACTGTCTTCGGGTGCTGCAATGCCATCGATCGCATAGCACTTGGCCCTGGCATCGTGGCACTGTTGTTTGGTGCCCGCCTTCTCGTCGCCCTCCCAACGAAAGTAGGGACACTCGTGCTTCTGGTGATAGTCCGACTGGCAGAGGTATACCATCAGGAGAAAGGGTCGACATGCGTTCTTCAGCATGGCCTTGGCGCCCGGGCTGGTCTTTAGCAGGTTGTACACGGTCATGGCTGCCCAGAAATATGACATTAAATATCAGCCAGCTGGCAATTATGAAAAGATCCTACCATCCTTGCGACAGAAGTCAAACATTTTGATGTGATACGCCTGCTCCTTGGGTCGATCCGCGTACAGTATCTCCGCATCGAGCTTCACCATCTTCATATTGATCGTATCGCTCTTGCCTATATACTTGCGCTGCTTATAAAGACACTCCACGAAGCACTAGAGATCGGTCGGAGATTAGATTAGGTCAGAGATCCCAACTGTATATATACCAACCGACAGAAACTTGAGCGTTTTGCCCATGTCTTTATCGCCATCCGGTGGCAGCCGATTGGAATGTATGGAGAAGCATTTCATCAGCGTCTCCTCATCGCCCAGATACAGATCCGAGCAGCATCCACTGCGCTGGCATTGCCGTTAACTATTAATTATTTCTGGGCTGTATATAGAAGACTCAGTTGCTCACCTTCATGCCACACTTTTCCTCAGTTAGGCTCTCTATTGAGCCCGCCTCCACAGCCGTCTCCTCGGAGTCCTGTGCCAGGACCTGCCCGACCAGCAGAAGGCCAAGTAATAGGCACACTTGACTAGGCATTGTGTTGTTTAATGAAATGGAGCTGAGTTTTGCACGCTACTTTATAACATTTCGTACTTTAATTATGCATTTAATTAAAATGGTTTTGCTTAATTAAATTTAGAAAAAATTGCAGCTCCACTTGTGTAATGGCTCGCAACAAAAACAAATCTATTAGCTCGAAGATATGAGATCACGATGAAGCCTCATTTAGGGCTATAATTTACATATAGCCCGAAATCGCCAAAGTTCCGGAGTAGCATCTATATAAAGGCGACATATTTGGATTTAGTAAAGAACAAAGTTGAGCCGCAAAATGCATCTAAAAATTTCCATAACATTCGTCTGTCTTGTCTGGGTAAGTTCCTGACTAACCTATAAATTGTGATACTCAATTTAATTTTAAACAGTTTGCCGGCGCACTCAAAATTGACTGCGATAAGACCGATACCATTAACGAGGATCACATCCATCAATGCTGCAAGCATCCCGACGGGCACAATGATATCATTGCCAGCTGCGCCAAGGAGACGGGCTTCAAGGTGCCCAATCCGAAGGAGCAGGCAATTGTGGATCTGACTGCAGGTCGCGCCATTGCCGGCACCTGCTTCGCGAAGTGCGTCTTCGAAAAGCTGAACATCATGAAGGACGATAATCTGGACATGAATGCAGTGCGCAAGTATTTGAACGACAAGTACAGCGATGATCCGGAGTATGTCAAGGAAATGATAAGCGCCTTTGATCATTGTCATGGCAAAAGTGAGTCTAAGCCATAGCTAAACCCATCTCTGTACACAATCTTTTCGAATGTCATCTCATTTCAGCTGAGGAGAATACAGCCAAGTTCATGTCGAATCATATATTCGTGCAGATGTCCCAACATTTCTGCGCGCCCAAGTCCAGTGTGATCATGGCCTGTGTCATAAGACAATTCTTCCACAATTGTCCCGCCGATCGTTGGTCCAAGTCCGCGGAGTGCGAGAACGTATTGGCCTTTAGTCAGAACTGTCGCGATTCCTTGGCCACTTTGTAAAGAATTGAACTATTTTGAAACAATAAAGAAGATATGTAACATATATCCATCTCATCTGATTTAGCTGTTTAATTGATCATCTTATCTATCTGAGCTTACCTTTATCTATTTATTCTCTTCTTTTGAGTTTTTAACTTTAACTAAACATATATATATCCCAATTCTTGATGAGAATGCTCCCTTTCTTAGCCCAGAGCTCTTTCGCTCTATTGCACTTTCCGTACTTCTCCTTAATTCTCAAGTTAAAATCAAAGTTGTATGCTGCTTTGTTCATTTATTTCTTTTTATATAGATCGTTATACAATGATAAAATTATAAAGATGTATATGCTTAGAAGTCTATGGACATCCTTCACATGGTGGTTAGCACATCCTTGCACTTCTTTGAGAAGGCCAAGGTCTCCGCGCACTCCGTGGTATTGGACCAACGGCTTCTGGGACAGTTATGGAAAAAGTTCTTGATCACGCAGGACAGTATAATGCTGGACATGGGCTTGCAATACTTTGCGGTACTAAAGGCGCGCACAATGGGCATCGATAGAAACTCCGCCGTGGCCTCCTCAGCTGAAAGTGTGCCCATGCAAAATATAAATGCCTATTAAAAGTTCAGGCTGTTTGCTTACATTTCGAATGGCATTTCTCGAATGCATCCAGCATCTCCGTCTCGTACTCGAGATCCAGCTTGTGCACGGTCCGAAAGTGACTGCGCACGGCCAGCATGTCGAGCGAGTCGTTCACCATAAATTTGTAATGGTCGAAGACGCACTTGGCCCAACAGTTGGCGGACATGACCTCGTCGACAGTGATGTCCTCCATGGCCTCCTCGTTCCTGGAGGGTAGCCGAAAGTTGGTCTGCTGAGCGCACAGCTCGGTGACATCGTTGTGCCCGTCCGGATGCTTGCAGCAGTAGTGTATGTGATCCTCATGAATGCGTTCCATGTGGCGGCAGTGCACGCGAATGCCCAGCGAAGGGCGGATCTGTGTGTGCGTAAACGTATGTTATATTGAGAATCGGATCGGTCGACTACACTTGACTTACCACCACCAGCCGCAGCGCTAGTGAAAAGGCCAATACATATATCGCTCTCCACATGCTGACAACTAGCTGCGGATGCCAGTTGCCAGTGGCCATTTATAGGTCAGCGTTTAGCCCGAATCAGTTGTCGAGCTTTAATGGGCTTTGAAATGAACAGACGTTAATTTAATGCACGCTCAATTGCTGGGCATTATGTTGACAACCCGCGGGCAACCCCCGGCAACGAGCCGGCGGAGGGTCGTCATGGCAGCTGTCAAACGGGTCGCGGACTGTTTTTGCTTGTTGTGGGCCTGCGAGCTGTGGACTTAATTAGTCCGACTGCTGGCCTTTGAAATTTGATAAGCGGTTTTCAATAAGCATCTATCAATAGAAACACTTAAAAATGGGCAAAAAGGGCAAGGGCAAGGGCAATAAGCTGGCCAAAATGTCCGAGGAGGAGCGTGCCAGATACTTGCAAATGCGCGCCGACATGGAGGAGGAGACCAGGCGACGCAAAATGCAACTCATTGCGCTCTACATGAAGGTACCGACGCACAGATACCCTAACAAAACTACACTTCCCCTCAACTATACGCTCTTGATCCCACGCAGAATAAACTGAAACGTGAGGATGCCTTTTGCCGGCTAAACATGGCCAAAATCAACCAGGAATGGCGTTCCATACTGCGGCAGGTGAAGATACAGGATCTGCGACGTGAAATCGTCGATGTGGCGCAGTTCTTCAAGGAGGGACTCAAACGCAAAAATCAGGTTATACAACGACTCATCGGCGACATCAATACCACGGAGGATATGTACGCCAATCTGCAGCAGTCGCACATGGAGAACATTGACCGGATCATAGGTGAGCTCTGGACACGTGTGATATATGCATGTATTTATTTTTTTTTTTTAAATTTTTTTTAAAAAACCCCAAACCCAGGCATTCACAGTAGCCGCATACAGTTCTTCTGGCGCATCTACGAGGACGATAAACAGGCGGTGCTTAGAGAATGGAAACAGGATGCGTGCATCTTCAAGGAGCTGCAGGCGGAAAAGCAACAACAGCTGGAGTGCGTTTTCTATCAACTAGAGGATAGCTCCGATCGAGCTGTTAAGGACAATCACGAACGCTTCCTGGATCGTGTCGAGGATCTGAAGAGCGGCGTAAGTGCTGACCAGCTAATTAAACAACATGTTGCCATATTCCTCCCAATCATCGCACTGCGCCTTCGCATACTCCGACATGCATTTGATTAGCTCACGCGACTGGCTGCACTTGTTATTGTTGTTACTGTTGTTGTTGTTGTAGCGGGAGTGCTCCAGATAGCGAAAGCATTGCTGCACTGTGTCCATGTAGAAGTTGCGCAGCTCGCGATCCCTCAGATCCTTGGTCAGCAAATAGCTAACCTTGCGCCGATCTGGCTGCCCATTGCCATCCACCTGCAAGAACAGGGCTTAGCCGTAAGTGTGGAGGGGCATCTTGCCTGTGGCTGACCTACCATGTTCATCTCCTCGAAGAAGCACTGTGCCACACAGGCGGCCCCCATGTCACCCGTGTGGCTCACCTTGTTGTTGTCCGTCTGCTTCACGCTGCGCTGCCAGCGATTGCCATAGGGCTGTTGCTGCTGCTGCTGTCGCTGCCCTTGCCCCTGACCTTGGCCCTGACCCTGCCCCTGGCCATAGTCCTGACTATTGTATGAGTTGTCAAAGTTGTATCTGCCATTGCCATAGCGTCTGTCGTTGTCCTCCTGGTTGCTGCCGCTGCGCTGCATGCAGCTGCGCACGATCCGCTTCAGCTCCGAATCGCTGGCGCCATCCTGGGAGCGACACTTGAGGCTGTGTATGCCGCAGCAAAAGCCGAGTAAGAGGAACACCAATAGACGCATCTCAAGCACTGTTGAGCGGCTCATGACTGCACACGACATTTATAGCCAGAGGCAACTGACACTGACGCCCTAATAGCCGCCCGCTTGACTGACACACAATGGTAACATTGACGTTGACTGCAATTCTAATAATTCCGCTTTCAACGGCAATTCTCAGATGCAATTGGAACTGGAGAACATAACGGGCAGGGGCGAGGGCAAGCTGGAGGCGCTGTGGCAGGAGTATCAATCTGTGCTGGCCGGCTATGGCAAGCACATCGAAGGTTTCTACTCGGAGTATGTGGATCTGAAGCAGCGTGACGAGGAGAGCGCCCAACAGATCAGCCAGCAGAGCTACGAGATTGACCATCTGATTGAGGAGCTGTCCAATCTGCGCCTGCTCGCCGAAGAGCAGCAAATCAAGCAGCAGGCCCAGCTGAAGCAGAGGCAGAGCATCAAGCAAGAGCTCACGGAGCGCCTGCGCGAGCTGCGGACTTGCGTCGACAAGGAGTTGGAAACCGAACACAAGCTGTTCAAGCAAATGACCGTGGAGAGCTACGAGGCCATTGAGGTGGGTGCCTGACTGGTCTACAACATGACATAACCTCTACTGATAACCATTTCAGACGCTCAAGAGGCACCTGACCAGGGTCGAAACGTTGTCGCAGCTGTCGCGCATCTGCGCCAAAATGGAGACCCAGCGGGAAAAGCTGTTTCTACTGCCGCAGCTGTCACGTGAGATAATCGAGATACGCGAGCTGAAAACGCCAGTGGAGGATGCAGTCAGCGATCCTCTCAAGGTAAGACGAAGTTTGGAGCAGTCAGAGCAGTTACGAATTTTCAATTCAGGAGGAGGTTGCCGCCTTGCCGCAGATGGAAACCTTTTGGCGGCGCGTCAACAACGTGTCCGTCGACGTGGCTTGCCTTAAGCAGCAGAAACGCAATCTGGAGGCGGACAATGCACGACTCAAGGCAGAACTGCAAGAGTATCTCATCAATCTGAACATTAGCAACGGCTCCAACAGCCACATACACGACTATCTATCCAAGCGGCCCAGGAGCATGTCCGTCGACCGCGTAACCCAGCTGCGCTTGCAGCCCAAGCAGGTCAAGAGCGCGGCGGCAGCAGCGGGCGGACGACGACCGCTGCCGCGACTAGCTGGTAGCTATGTGCCCAGCTGTGAAGCAGGCATCTCGAATACTATTCGATCTCGTAACATGCTCAGGGGCAAGCCTCAGTTGGCTAAAATTGATGTGAAAAAGCACTTCTAAATTTTAAATTTCGGCCCGTTTCTAAAAATTCCATTTAAAAACTATCGAAATTTATGTAATGCACTAAAATGCATCGTTCCCGGAATATTATCAAACGCTTTGTGCTAAGTCGCTGCCCACCGCCCGCTTTTGGAAGGGTGCCCATAAGAGATTCCATAGCCAATGGCTATAGCCATGCCCAAGCCAATCTTGCTGCTAGCTGCCGGAAGTTGTATACCAAACTTTTAGAATCTGGCAGAGATCAGCTCGTAGATATACGAGGGGCATTAATGTCGCGACGTCGCAACAACGACATGACCTGGGTCAAATTAACTTGCAACCTGGCGAAAAATATCAACAAGAAGCCCAAATCTGTGGTGGATTATCTGAGCATGCCGCTCAGGGATTGTTTCGACTTTAAACCATGTCGCATTGGTTATAGGAAGCGAATCCTTTGCTCGGAATGCATCGGGTTAAACACAGGCGATAGTGAACTGAATATCGGTGGTCAAAGAACCAGCTCGCCTATCCAGTTGGAGCCGCAACCGGATAATACGAGCGAAGAATTTCGAAACGAAAGAGTGCGCTTCCAAAGTCTGCGCGTCACTCCGAGAAATCAGCTGAAATCTTAAAGTAACCAAAACTTTTGTAATAGACTGGGACAATACTATAAAACACAGCACAAATTTCATTTAAATTTGTAACGCTTTTCTTTCGATATGGCGCTAGACGACACAAGCCGGCAGCCCCGGTAGTGCTGCCAGATCGTCAAATATTGTTCGCAGGGTATTTTTCTAGTATGTTTTTCGTTGTGGCTCGCATACACGTTTCACATTCACACTGTTCCGCAGTTTTCCACAGACACAACCCATGTCCAATAGTCGTTTACACAGAAATCCGATTAAATACAAATAATAGTTCAAGTTAAATTAATAAAAGTAAGCTGCAGCTGCTGCTTAATTCAGCGCACAAATTAAAAGCAATGGACAAGTGAATTAAAGTCGAAATCAAGCCCGCATTCGGGGTGTAAAAATCGGATGTGTTTTTTACATCTGTGTATCTACCGAATTCAAAGTGTGCGTGTGTGTGTGTATTTGTACGTACGCTACGCACTGTTATAGATACAACAACAAGCCAGCAGCAGCAGCAGCAGCAGCGCTGACAGTTGGAACGGCAACGGGCACGGGAACGGTGAACGCTGAACAGCGGGAGCATATTCTTGTTCTTGTAAAATTACCAAAAAGAAATTTCATTCGGAAAATGCGGAAATGAGGCTGAGAAAGAGAAACAACCCCGAAAACGCAAACGAATTATGTACATAAGACCAAAAGGCAAAAACAACAAGCAAAACGGCAAAAAAAAAAAAGGAGAAAAGACAAACGCTTTGGTCTTTTAGCTTCGATTCAACTTTATTTTGTGATTAATAAAAACAACGAAAATATAAACTTACAAAATCTGTGGATAGAAAGTGTGAGAAACTCAAAAACCCATCAAAATCAAAACTCTGCTCTGCGTTGCGCTGCATTTGGATTGTAAATTTTTTTTTTTCTTTTTGGGCCACGCCGTCGCCGTAGGCGCTCGTTCTTGTTGGGCGACGCGAGATAAACATAAAGAGAGATAAATACAGAAATAAAAAAAAAACCAAATTAATGGAAAAGCATAGACACAAATAAGTATATATAATTTTATTGGTGTTGCGCGCTGAGTGCTTATCTATATGCATATGTCGTCATCGTCATTGTCGCCTTCGATTTGGGTCTGTCTGGGCGCCTGCAGCTAGAGCTGCCTGCATGGAAATGTAACTGGAGCAGGCGTAGAATTATTTTCCGAAATGTGTTCAATGCAGGCCTGAAGATAAAAAGAAAGAAATCAAACGCGGAAATCAGAACGGGCCCCAATAAAAGGTTTGTAAATGTGGCCTGCCACAAGACCAACTCTTTGTATTCAAATACTGCCACACCTCCCCCGCCACATATATATATATATATGTGTGTGCGTGTGTGTGTGTGAGTGCACTTCATTTGTGCTTCTTATTGACTAACAGCTGCCGCATTCTTTGCCATTTTCATTTGTGCCATTAGCCAAGCCAAACGCTAAATAAAAAAAAAAAACAACAATGATTGCCACCACTCACAACTGCGCAATATAATATTATCCATATAAATATTATATATATAATATACATATGCATATGTATATATATCCACCACATCGACATCGATACATCTGGAGCACTAACTATCATCCAGCATCAAACATAAAAAATATGCCCCGGCAGCTTCTACTGCTGCTGCTGGCCCTCATCCTGGTCGCGCTGCCAGCAGCCAAAGGTAAAGCCATCCGCTCCATCCATCCAAGCATATTGTCTAGATCCCAGTCTGTTGTCTTTCGCAGCGCAATATCAATCGCCACGCATCATCGAGCATCCCACGGATCTGGTGGTCAAGAAAAATGAGCCCGCAACACTCAACTGCAAGGTGGAGGGCAAGCCGGAGCCCACCATTGAGTGGTATAAGGTATGTAGGGAGAGAATACTGAAGAGTTTTCCATATATAATATGGTCTCTGTCTCTGATGTGCAGGATGGCGAACCAGTCAATACCAATGAGAAGAAATCGCATCGGGTGCTGTTCAAGGATGGCGCCCTATTCTTTTACCGCACCATGCAGAGCAAGAAGGAGCAGGACGGCGGCGAATACTGGTGTGTGGCCAAAAACCACGTGGGCAAAGCCGTCAGTCGGCATGCCTCGCTCCAAATAGCTGGTAAGCGCAGGCACAGACACCACAACTTGTTAACCCACACTTGCGAATGTTTTGGTACCATGTTTGACACCTTGTTGCTGTCTTTGCAGTTTTGCGCGACGATTTTCGCGTGGAGCCGAAAGACACGCGCGTGGCCAAAGGCGAAACGGCGCTGCTCGAGTGTGGGCCGCCCAAAGGCATACCAGAGCCGACCATTATCTGGATGAAGGCAAGCTAACGCAAATCTTAAGCAACATTTATGCCAAATTTTAAACTGTTTGGCTTTTTGTTTTATTTTGTTTTTAGAATGGCGTGCCGCTCGATGACCTGACCTCGAAACCTTTCGGCACCAGCTCTCGTGTGCGCATTGTGGATGGCGGCAATCTGCTGATCAGCAATGTGGAGCCAATCGATGAGGGCAACTACAGGTGCATTGCCCAGAATCTGTTGGGCTCGCGCGAATCCAGCTATGCCAAGCTGATTGTTCAGATCAAGCCGTTCTTTATGAAAGAACCCAAGGATTTGACTATGGTCTATGGCCAAACAGCTACGTTCCATTGCTCTGTTGGTGGTGATCCGCCACCAAAGGTGCTCTGGAAGAAGGAGGAGGGCAACATACCCGTATCCCGTGCACGTATTCTGCACGACGAGAAGAGCCTCGAGTTGAGCAACATAACGCCCAACGATGAGGGCACCTATGTTTGTGAGGCGCACAACAATGTGGGCCAGATCAGCGCCAGAGCAACGCTCACCGTGCATGGTACGTTGCTTAGCTAAGTATTCCATCTAGATATCCACCTAATTGTTTGTTTTCTTATACAGCGCCACCAAGTTTCTCGAAGAAGCCCACAAATAAGAAAGTCGGTCTCAATGGCCAAGTGCAGCTGCCTTGCGTGGCCACTGGCAATCCGCCACCATCTGTATTCTGGACCAAGGAGGGCGTATCCACGCTCATGTTCCCAAACAGCACCCATGGACGTCAGCACATTACAGCGGAGGGCACGCTACAGATCAGCGATGTGCAGCAGGATGACGAGGGCTTCTATGTGTGCTCCGCTTTCAGTGTGGTTGACTCTTCCACTGTGCGCATCTTTCTGCAGGTCAGCACGGTGGACGAGCGCCCACCACCCATCATACAAATTGGACCCACAAATCAAACTTTGCCCAAGGGCTCGGTGGCCACAATGCCCTGCCGAGCCACTGGAAATCCCACGCCACGTGTTAAATGGTTCCACGACGGCTACGCGGTGCAGACGAGCAATCGCCACAGCATCGTGCAGGGCAGCTCCCTCAGAGTGGATGGTATGGCCTAACAAATATATTTTTATAAATATAGATTATAAAACTTGTTCTTAATCTATTACAGACCTTCAGCTCAGCGATTCTGGTCTATATACATGCACTGCCACCTCGGAACGCGGTGAATCCTCTTGGTCGGCTACCTTAACGGTAATTCAACAGCTTAATTAAAATATGTCTTGTCTGTTTACTAATAACATTTGCTTGCAAACAGGTGGAGAAGAGTAGCTCTGCAACGTTGCATCGTATAGCAGATCCCAGCACCTATCCCGCACCTCCAGGCACGCCAAAAGTGATCAATGTCACACGCACCAGCATCTCGCTGCGCTGGGCCAAGAGCCAAGAGAAACCAGGCGCCGTTGGACCTATCATAGGGTAAGCCTCTTTGTAAACGTGAAATAATGTTTTGATAAGACAGAAAAATAGTTGCTGTAATCGGAAATTGATCAAAATCAAGCCCAAGCTTAAAGAAATTATGGATAATTTCCTGACTTTTTATAAAGACTTAGAATACCTAAGAGCAAGATTGCTTAAATGCTTTGACTTTTTTCGATAAATAGCTAATTCTAAAATGAAATCATTATTGAAATTAATTATATCATTCAAATTGAATCATATATTATTTGCAGTTATGCTGTGGAGTACTTTAGTCCCGATCTGCAAACGGGTTGGATCGTAGCCGCTCATCGTGTGCCCGACACTCAAGTAACGGTGAGTAGGCCCTCTCTTATTGTCTACGATTCCGTTAATCCTTCTTATGTGTGTTCTCCACAGATCTCAGACCTGACATCCGCCACGGCGTATGTGTTTTTGGTGCGCGCAGAAAATTCGCAGGGTGTGTCCGTGCCTTCAGGCCTATCGAATGCAATAAAAACCTTGGGCGAGGACTTTGATGTGACGCCATCCAACGAGTTATCTGCAGCGCGCACGCTGCTGACGGGCAAAGTAAGCAGAACACAATCAGAGCAAATTCAATTCAATGCTTATGATTATATTAATGTACAGGTCGTGGAGCTTATCGATGCCTCTGCTGTAAATGCCAGCGCCGTGCGCTTGGATTGGATGCTTCATGTGAGCGCCAATGAGAAATTTGTTGAGGTGAGTTGTAATCCTTATTAAAATCAAGACTTCAGCAACTAATCTTTATGTATTACCCAGGGTTTGCACATACGCTATCGGGATGCTAGCTCCCACTCGACGCAATATAATGTCATCACAGTGCTTGATGCCGGAGCGGAGTCCCATGTGGTGGCCAATTTGCGAAAATATACGAAGTACGAATTCTTTCTGACGCCCTTCTACGAAACCATCGAGGGCCAGCCAAGCAACTCCAAACTGGTCACAACCTTTGAGGATGGTAAGCATCAGCAATATTCCTTTCGTTTATGACTGTGTTAAATCTGAGATTGTTTAGTACCCTCCGCACCTCCGGATAATATACAAATTGGCATGTACAATTTGACTGCTGGTTGGGTGCGGTGGACGCCGCCGCCGGCACAGCACCACAACGGAAACCTATATGGCTACAAGATTGAGGTTAGCGCCGGGAACACCATGAAAGTGTTGGCCAATATGACGCTAAATGCGACGACCACATCGGTGCTGCTCAATAATCTGACCACAACGGCCGTTTATAGCGTGCGACTCAATGCGTTTA